TTCTTGCTTTTTTATAACAATATGAAATCAAAATGTTTTGTTAAAAAAAATAACAAAGTTGTACAATGATGCTACATGTTAACAGTATGCAAGTACAGGCCTGGCCATTTGAGGAGAGCCATAGCTCTTGCTCCCCTCCAGGCTCTCCTTAAACGCTGGAAGGGAGCTAGAGATTGCTCTACTAAATTTTTCTAAAATGCTCTCCTTGAAATCAATTTTTCCTTTGTTTCTATTCTTATAGCTCACCTGAATACTACTAGGAGAGCTGTTTACTGCTCCCCTGTTAAAAGTCTTATGGCCAGGCCTGCAAGTAGCATGAAAGGATAATACAAATTTTGGCTGCAAACATCTGTTTGGGATCAAGCAATAGAAACAGTTCATTACAATTTGGCATCTGGAATTTGATTTTTCTAGCAGCAAATGTCTCAATTTGATTCTCAATTCTAAAGAAAGTATTATTTTTATCCAAATGTGGGGAGTTAAAAAAACTGTCAATTCAAAGAGGGTTTATGATTTAAAGCACTCTTCTCTGCTCACCATCATTTCAGAAATAAGTTTCATATTTTTTATGAGAGAAAATGATAATTAGTTCTTAGTATTATAGATCTGCAGAAAAAATTTATAGTCTTACCCTGCCTCTTTTCACAATTCTATCAAAACAAACTTTTGGCGAGACATTCAAATAAATGGCAGCAAAAGGTGCTGGGATATTCTCCATTGCTTTCTCTCTTACATTCAAATAGTATTGGTAGCCTGGAAGAAATTCAAAACATGACATGAAAATTTTAAGTAAAACTTAATGTTCTTTCAAATGTACATCAAAATTGTCTTGAAATTCTTGAAAAAACAAATATCAAAATTATCAGACACAGAAAAGCATGAGACAATGAAGGCTATTTCAATTACTCTTTACCCAGAGTGATCTAATATAAGAGATATTTCCAAAAAGTATTTCATTTTTCACTGAAATGAAGTGCAAAAGATTCATACTTCAACATTCGGCTTTCATCAATTTAAACCCAATACTCCAATTCTTTGGTCTATCTCTTATTGAAAGTTCATAATCAAATGGATAATTTCAAAGGAACAAAGCTATCATACCATTATGACTCATGTTTCCATCTTCAAAAATAACATTTGTAAAAACCAAATCACTATATACTGATCGGTCCAAAACAACACCTTGACCTTAAAGGCAAGATTGAAAATAGTATTTAAAGCATAATGTAAGTCAATTAAGCATGGAAATTAAGCTTTGGTAAGAAACGGGTGTAGAAAGGAAACAATATAGGCATTACAAATGCTAACAAAGAAAATTATCCACTCAAGAACATGTTTATCTGACAGTCTGAAAAATTTTTAAAATATCATGATAAAAAGGCAGCATTAGAACTTTCTAGATCTAAAATTTTACAAGATAATGTAATCAAAACTTCCAACTTAGCATACTCTCTTGATTAACTATCAGTTGTTGAACAACATTCTAAATGGAGAAAGACAGGAAACCATAAAAATTGTCAGAAGTTTTCTTTTGAAGTTTTTATCACTACTTGCTATCTTGGGCCAACAAAGTCTAGCTGTCCTTTTTGTAAGAGCTTTGAATCTAAAACCATAGCTTGTTATTTCAAGACCTGAAGATAGAAACTTTTATGTCTCTGAGCAAAGAAACAGTGATGGTTGAAATGATAACACAAACATATACCTGTTTCCAGAATGTGCTTTAGTCCATTAATGTACATTAAATACCTCTGCTCAAATAGCCACAATTGCAGCTTCAATGCATACTTTCTAGGCTCTTTGTAAAACTTGGCAAGATATGGGTTTTTGGGAGCTGGTTCTTCAAAAATCTGTGATTCAAATTGATATTTTGATTACATGAGATATTCATTTGTTTATAAATGTTTCATCTGAATAGAGATATTCAAATGAAACATTTCAATACATTTCTTAACAGAATGCATAGAGAATTCATCTGGTACCAGGCCCTGAAATGAGCAAAAGTTAGGAGCTTGTTTAATCAAGCCCCTCGATTCAGTTAAGTGCTTGATCAAGCTCCTAGATTACTTTTGTCATTTGATCATGTTTTCTTAAATGTGCAAAATCAACAGTTGTAAGAAATTATTTGCGAAATATAATGAAAACGAACTGTTACAATGAAATTTAATGTACTCCAAGACGGATTAAATACCTAAATACCCATTTATCTTGAAGATAAATGTGCTTTGTTTATAAAATTTATGTACATCACCAATATCTTATAGACGTTATAGCCGGATGATTGCAAGAAGTTGTTCCAGACCTTTTTAAAACCGCTTTAACTGACCAGAAAAGAGTAATAACATAGTTAAAATACTAAGGGCCTATTGTATTCTTAAACATTCGCAGTGGAATTGATTTTCAAATGCACTTTATCTACTGGCTTTTTATCATCTATGTCATATGCTTGGGTCACAAAAATAACTAGAAATGTGTTAATTGATGAGTTATTTATTCCTCACATTTTACCATTTTGCATGAACAATCAGCCCTTGCCAGGTAGGGTTTGCGCAAGTGCTAATGCGATGGCGAGTGATCCCTTGCGTCAAACAAACAGCCCTGGAACACAGAAGCTAGGCAAATGGAAAATAGCACATGTGATCTGAACATTACTTGGGATTTGCAAAGGCCATGAAAACTTCACACTTATGTTTTGTAATGATCAGCTAGGTGCTCAAGCAATCAGGCCCCTAAATTTTCTGAAGTGAGTGTTGAGGCACTCGCGCTTGATCGAGCGCCTCTCATTTCAGGGCCTGTCAAATTGAAAGAACTAAAAAGATGCTAAAAAGATTCTAACAGATTTTCATCTTTGAACTTATATTTATTAAATTGTTTGTGTCAATAGCTATAAAGAACAGGAACTTAATGAGATGAGGGCAAAACATTTTTTACAGCAGGTCTTGCAACCTTCAAGCAAAGCACTTGCTGTGCATGTATTCTAGTCTTACATTGCATGTATTCTAATAGTAATAGCTTGAGATATTCAATTAAGACTTTATGTAATGACCCCAGAGTAATCACAGCACTCTGCTCCTTGGGCGTTGTTTCCTGTTCTTTTGTAAAGTAGCTTGACTTAATAGTGTAGCCTGGAGCATATATTGTGACTTTTAGTCGAAAACCATGATACCATGTTTAAAACTGACAGAAGTTTTGAAAATGGTGGAAAACCCCTGTAAACAAAGGTTTCTATAATTTCTTTATTGAAGTTTTAGGTTAAGGTCTGAAAATCGCTTGACCATTTAAGCCGATAATCCTTGCTTTGCTGTTGTGGTTGCATGTCTCATTTGCAATAACTAGTTACAATGGCATGGCACATGTAGGGCTGTGTTTATTTAAATAGACTTTGATTTTTAAGCTTTAAATGACTTGCCCCAGATTACACTGTGGTTTACAAATGTACCTTGCAAGTGCAAGCAGTAAAATCCTGTTTTCTCAGGACTCACAATTCCTCTATATACAGTTTACTTTTTGTGCAATTTTTCTAATATGTATGCAAATACAAAACTCTTTAGAAACTTTTACTAATAAAATATGGCCAAACATGTTCCAAAATTAAGAGACTTTGACTTGTGAGGCTTTAGCTACTGTAGTTTTCTTCTAGAATAAAAAAATCTTTAATGTGTAACTAACAATTAAATTCGTTCTACAACAACTGAACAAATAGAACTAGTGAACTAGCAGCATCAGCAATGAACAATAAAGGAAACGTAATTGCAACCAATAAATTAGTTGAGAGAAGACAATTCTTTGGGATATCAGGCAACGTGCACTCACGGCTGTTACGCCTATTGTTCTCGGGGAAATGAGGACAGCCAATATTTTGCCATTTAACAGACCGCAACACGCAACTTTCGAAAATTGAATGATTTTCAAAATTAAGTATAAAATCGTAGATTTATTGCAGAAAATTGCAAATAATTTTAAAACAAAGACCATCCTCTGTTTATTTCATTCGTTTATTTGTTGTTTGCTAAATTTTATCAGGTTTTAGGGGAAGATTTTTAAAGAATCACCACTTTCGTAAATTTCCGACGCGATCGCGATTTTAGGCCAAAGTGCTCCTCAATGTTTTCTCGGGCGCTTCCAAACGATAGACGATAAATACTTCATTTCTTTTGCATGAATAAGATTAAAAACGAGGCTAAAAACCTGGTGGGGTGCCCTGGTCAGCATTTGGTGGAAACCAGTTAGAAATCAACTTTCTGTGCGCTCGCGTGAAATTTGAATGTCAACGGTTTTTCTGTCTGAGAGGGCACCCCAAAAAATTTATTCTCGTACAAATGAAGAGTCATTTTGGTATGTTTTTCTAGCAAAATAAGCCTGTCTGTGGAAGCGCGAGCTGATTTTCGACGACCCGGTCGGCCTAAAACTTAATGTTTTCCTAGTGATTCTCAAAGCTGCGAGGCCGCCTCGCAGTGCACATCTCTTCGGCTTCTCCGTCAGGAGCGATGAAAATATCAATTTGAAGGTAAAAAAATTAAAACAAAAATAATTAAATGCTATTTTCATTTATTTTCTACCTCTTCAGAGAATTCAATACAAAAATATTTCCAATTAGCCTTGTTTGGTTGGCTTTGGCAGTGGTACCGTAGACAAATTCTGTTAAAGAAATTCGCGGGAAGCCCATTCAGGGAAACCACATTTTTTTGTAAAAAACCCTGAAAGGCAATTAGAATTCTATTTCAACTTTCTAGTACAGAATTTAATGCTGAGTTCAAAACAAAAAACAGCTTCTCTATTGCTTTTTCAAATTTTGAGATATCTTCGATTTTCTCCGATGCGGTCAGGGAACGGGCCTATGCTGTCCTGACTTCCGCGGCGTAACAGCTGTGCACTATACAGCTACCATTTTATGTAATAGGTCAAATCTTTGCATCCGACCCAATCTAACTGCTAGGCGCCACCTGTAATAAAGTTATGTATTTATTTTTTGTTTTATTTAAAGTCCTGCCATGAAACCTTACCACGTAATTGAAGTATTCTCCAAGACGCTTTGACAAAGTACTTTTGCCTGCGGCAATGTTACCCTCCAAAATTATCAGCTTTCCTTCTGTTAGACGAGAACTCTTTTCAATAGCTTCAGTCATCGCTAAACTACTGCATTTCAGCTTTGAAACTATAAAACATCTTTTGATTAGGTTCCATTTAAGCCTTTCGCAAATGGGTTTTGAGCAGCAACGAAGCATTTTACACAAATCTGCTGACTTGCGACTCAAAATAAATGGCCTCCTTCGCGCCAAATATGATTAGTGAATGATGTCTCGTTTCAAAACTGCCTCTTTTGAGAACATGTCTCAGGGTTTCCTGATTCTGTCTTAATTTCTCTAGACTTTTGTATCTTGTAACCACCAGGTACCAGGTAATGTGACAGAGTTTTATCATATTTATAACAATATTAAGTATTTTACTGCCTATTTGTCCTAGATTTTGAGATTTGTGAATCCTTCTGATATTACTGGCATTTCGTTACGGCGCAGGACCTTCCTCGTATCGTAAGTGTTTTCCAGAGAGAGGTGAACAGTGGTGTGGTGTATCAGATTCGTTTATTGGTTTTATTTCCATTATTCAAAGGTTTTTGAGATGCAGTCTACAGTTCACAACCTGAAACGATCCCTCCGAAAATCTTTGAAGATTGCTATCAATAAATTGACGGACAATGTGAAGAGAAACGAATCGAAAATAATTACTGACAAGCTCTTGAATCTGGAAATTTATAAGCAAAGCTCTAGAATTTCTGTGTATTTGAGCATGCCTTCTGAAGTTGATACTAACGAAATCTTGAAGGATATCTTTCAGAAAGACAAAAAGTGTTATGTTCCCTTGTACACAAATGATGATATGAAGATGGTCCGTCTTCATGGGATTGAAGATTATGAGGCTTTGCCGCTCACATCATGGAACATCAAGCAGCCACATGAAAATGAAGAACGTGAAACAGCAATGGACAGTGGTGGTCTTGATCTTATTATTCTTCCAGGGCTTGGCTTTTCCAAAGATGGTCAAAGACTTGGCAGAGGAAGGGCCTATTATGATAACTACCTAGCAAAACATGTCAATCTACATCACAAGAAACCATTCACTGTAGGACTTGCGTACAGTGTTCAGATTTGTCCAGAGATTCCTTGTACTGAAACTGATGTCAAGTTGGATATGGTTTTGTATCCATGATTGTACTAGGACATTGATTGCTTGAGTAATCTCCCAACAGCATACAAGTTTTATATACATGCAGATTGCAAAGTATGACTTTGGCACCCCACTTTGCTAATTATGGTGATTCTCAGTGGGATCTCAACATTCAATTTTAAAGCATGTGACATGTGCAAACTTCTTTTTTACAAGCAAGACAGGGTGCATTCCTTGTAAACCCTGTGCTGAAAGTACGCCATGGCAGTCATGAAATGTTTGTCAATCATATAATTTTTTTTATAAAGAAGCATGATATAAGATAGCCTCTTATATATTTTTCCATCAATTGGTTTTGAAACTTTTGCATTAAGCAAACAAACAGAAATAGTTTCTCTCTACTCTATGTTTTTGTTTGTCACTTTGCTTGCTATATTGTAAGAAACACAGCTGATTTAACATGTTTCAATAGTTATAAATTGGATTTTAAATGTTTGTATAATTGAAATTTTTAATATACACAGAATTTTAACAGTATCTTGATAGCTGTTTTAACACCACCTTTCTTCATAGAAAATATCTTTGCTAGAAGTTTGACAAAACTCTTTCCCTTTGTTTTTAAATATTTTCAAAATTGTATTTAGCTTTGTCATTCTATACCAGTTGTATTTTTCAAATTTGAAGCCTCTAGTTTAGAAATGTCTCAAAAACACAAGTTGATATCTGTTACAGTAAATCACTCAAACTGATTTTCTTCTTTCCAAAAATTATAAATATCTAAAAATTATACTTCAGTTCTGCCTGCATTAAAATATAACTAATATACACCAAATAAAAATAAACACAATACTGATTTTAACTAAATTTGTTCATTTATTTTGTTTTATTCATATCTCTTAAACAGATGAACTGGGGTGTCTATATCTAAATTTAGGTGTTGTGTCATTTTCATACCCTGAATGAATCAAAACAAAATTTTGTAGTATGATATCTAGGTGCCATGATAATAATTGATGTTCAACGGACACATTGATGATGCTTTTTTAAGGTTGAATTATTAGAGTTTTTCTCTTAGCGGGAATGCCAGTAAATAACTGTTAATCACTACACAATTTGACAGTAAAACTATGTTAATTTTCTAGCCAGTATATTGTTAATACCCGTAACCTTTAATATGTTTATTAGACAACTATTTAAAGACATAAATTATTATTTGCAGAAGAAGAAATTTGTTGCATGTATTCAAACAAGTAACAAATAATTCATTGTCTTTAAGAAAGCTCTTACAAAATACAACCTTGAAAGATGGTATTGATCAACTGGTATTTATTTTGCTTCTTGTTAAAAGCAATCATTTGATTTGGTCATAAAAAATGATATCATCATCTTATTTACTACCAGCAGATATTTAGGAAAGTTAAGTTTACCTAGTAGAAAACTAAGAAATTTATTGTCATACCAATTATGTTGCTCTAAGCCACATCCTAGTATACATTAAAAGAAATTGAGCTAAATTTTTATATTTCAAATTTCTATAAGTGATGTCTAGATCACCTTTTCATATCTTCTACTTTATTAAAGGTCCATTCTTGATTTTTAGCACCACTGCAGTGTCCCATCATAACATATTTTGTAGTCCTAACTTCCATACACATTTTGAATCTGTTATTCATCAGCAAATTTTTCTAAAAAAAATGAAAATTTATGGCTTCATGAACAATCTTAATTTGACATGGTTGAAGTGATCTGATGTGCCAGAAAGGCGAATTTCTAAGTTTAAGTATTACAATCAGTTGCATGCTAAATGACCATTATATGTGTGTGTTTGTGGGGGAAGGTGGGGGGGGGGGTGTAACAGAAGACAGGGTTTGATCAATAAATTTTCATTTCACTTTCAATGTATACATTTCTAAAAACCTGGTGGCATACTTAGGTATCACTGTCACACAATCATGGTCAAGCTAAGATCATATGGAGTTTGTTCACGTTATATTATCAAAAAATATTTTTGTTAAGTTGTATTGAAAGAAGCATTGGCACCAATAAATCTACATCGCCAAGAAAATTGATTAATCATTCTAGTATGTTATGTGGCCAAGGATGACATCACAGGAAGACCCAGTTTATCTGACAGAGAAATTTGGTCAATCTTGTGGAATTTCTAGTATCAAAAAGCAGTGTTAATATCTATGATATTTGTCTAACTATTACATTGATTGGTTGTCTATCTATTATATATTTATAAATTTTGAGCCTGCCAGTTTTATTTCACTTAATTCACCTCAAAGAAAAAATCATTGCTTCTACCTTGTAGACCCATTTTTGATTTAGACCTAGGTTGTCACACTCTCGTAAATAGAGGTCATGTCCGTTGTAGTCCACACAGTTGTCTTCACTTCGAAGCTCGCCTCGGCTGTTGAACGTGAAATACTGTGGGGAAAAATTAAATTCCAGCATAAATGAATGTCTCCATTCGATCATTTAAAAGAGCAAAGTCATTGCCATCAAATTATATAGAAGTTTAAGTAAATGACACAAACAAACTATCATCTGCCAGGAGAACAAATTTTATTTATTTTGCATCCGGTATTAAACATACTTATTAGCAGGTAATTTTTCTGCAAGTCTATCTTGCAAAATTTTTCCCTGCTGATACAAATTTCCCTGAATGAGTTATCTATTTATTAGCAATAGGAATGTAAACGGAAAAGTGTTAATTTCTATTTACTGAAAGGTAGAAGCATCGTCAAATAATGAACTCTGATATTCTAAAAGTAAGTTATTAGCCAAAATCGTGCTTGCAAAGTTGGCTTGATAAAGCTAGATTGTAAAAACGTTTTAAAATAATGAAATTCGTATAAAGTATTTGAAATAATAAAATTGGAGAATGCGAATTTTTACTCACAAAATTTACACATTCTATAGCAAAAAAAATTGGTAATACTCTGTGGCGAATGATAGTGGATTAGCGTGCAAAATTGACAACAAGATAAAGTTAATACTCTTATTCACATCTTGGGTTTTAGTAAAGTTGCCAGAAATATTTTCAAGTACTAATTTATCCACACCAACCTTGCCTGATTATATTCAATACGAGTCAGTTTTTTCGTGAGTCATTACCTGGTTTCCACCTTGTCCGTGGCATAAGTAAAGCCCAAGTGGAGCGCCGTCTTGCTTTCCAAGTGTGTCGAGGCACAAGCTCGTATCCGGATTCTTGATCTAATAGAAATGACAGTGACGATATCATTGTGGCGAGCTATAGAGATATAAATGTATTGCCACTGACAGCCTAATTGCTGGCCCTAGGTCGGCTTTAGGTCCTCATTCAGTCTAGCTGTACTGATGAGCCCTGACATGGGGCGAAACCGGTCTACAGCCGACTGTTTGAGGTGCCAGTGGCTTTCTTTACTTCACACTATAGAGATATGTATTTTTGTTCAACAAAATAGGTTATATCCGCGGTAACTCGAACATTCATAAAGTCGAAATGTGTTCTGCAATCGCCTGGAACCTTCTCCAATACTTTCAAACCTCCCGATATCTCGAACATTTATTTGAAGGAAGATAAATTTTTGCATTAGTCTTCAAAAACAAAGTGTCCAAGTTTTTCTGCAAAGCGATCAATATAGTTTTTTTGGGGTGATAAAGAGAAATTATTGTCCTGTTGGTCAGCTCAAGTAACCAGCCGACGAACCACGACGAATCAGCTGGACAAGGAACAAAGAATGATGGATCGCCTGAAGCTAATGATCGACCGACCAAGCCTTGCAGCGTCAGATCACGAAGGGCGATTCTATGTGCCCATTTACAATCATCTGCGGTGAAATGAAATGCCGATCCGACAAGAGAAACCATTATTTAAAGTTCCTTATCTGTCCTCTTTCTCTTTCCTCGCAACACAGGACGGGTACCGTTGGGCAGATTACAGGTTGCAGGGGCTAAAAAGTTTCGAAGGGCAAACCATGTTACAAACGATGCAAGAGGGCAAGGTTTCTGTATATTGCTTTTGTAAGACAAAAAGGGTATGGCAACTTCAGGCGCGTGGATGAATAGAACAGGGCGTTTTAACCATGCCCAGTTCTATACAACAAATTCTACTCTGCCTATACGTCACCAAGCACTTTAAGACAAACCATTAATCAGTAGTTTTCATTTGTTCTTCAAGACTATAAATCTTAGGCCAGTCTATTCAACTTGGACATGACACAAAAGCTTTTTTGATGATCAAGATATTGTTCTAGCTGTTGATGTCTAAGTCAGAAAATATTTAGATAATGATCATGCCAATTTGACAGCTTAGAGAGCGAGCACCATTCTTTCTAAACGATGAACTGAAGCGAAAGATTAAGACAAATACATGATTCTCTTGCTATACTTTGTCAACCAGAATACGTATTGTTAACCTGTTACTCAATTATGTGCCAATTGCATTCCATCCCTTTCGCTTCTCTTGCATTCTCGGCAATAAAGAGGTTTGTTTTTATCTCAAGGGTCAAAACCCGTAGAAAATCAATCATCTTGCAGGGAACGATTAAAATTACTGCTAGCCATGACCATTGAAAAGAAAGCTTAATGTTTCTAGATGTGCAAAACCTTATTTACATGTTTGCTTAAACCTTGGGCGAACTATAAAAAAGGCTTTTATATCCATTACTAAAACCTTGTCTTTAGCTCGCGTGCTGTGATCAAACTTAGTAAACCTTAGAGGGTCCTTAGAATTTTTGTTCTGGATTGACATTCGAAAGAAAGCTTTACATATTTAAAACAAACCATCTGATCGGACCAGGATGATATCTGTACAGAAGGATACTAAAAATAACAAACATGTTCTTATTCATGAACTTTTTACAAATTTGAATTTGCTTTGTTTAATTGTATATGACGGGCTAATGCTGTAAAATGATAAAGGGATATTTTTATTGTAAGAGCCCGATTGACACAAACTACATTTCTTCCAATGTTTATCCTGTGCTGAATTCTGTCGTGCTTTTTTCTCATCGCTTGTCAAAAGCATTTTTGTATGAAGGCTTAAAGTTTCCAGTTTAGATTAAGTACCAACAAGTCTGGTGGATTAATTTTCGGTGGAAAAATTTTGGTCATATTTTTCAAATGTTCGTGTAGATTTCGGTGAGAACTTGAAAAATCTTGGTGGAAAAAAATTTGGTAAGTAAAAAAATGAAGCACTTTCTATAAGTTATTTCTATCTTCAACATAAAATTATCTGGAACGCAATCATAAGAGATAATGCCAGCCCAACAAATGGAACTGAAGAGTAGGTAAGAATGTCATAAATTCTTATTTAAAGGAGGTCTTTTATATTTAATTTTTATAGCCCATGGAGCAAAATTAATTGAAGGCGTTTACAGTTCGCAATATTTTCGATCTCCTATCGCAAGGAGGGATTAGAAATTCTGATCGATTTAGAATTTAAAATTGAGGCGTCGAAAATGAAACTGTTGGAACGTTAGAAAGAAATAATTAAGCGAAATTATGGAGAGACAGAAGAAGCACCAGCTCGGCCATAGAGGACATATTTTTTATGAATGCAGAGGACGAAAGAGAAGAAAGTTAAGATGAGCTGGATAACTTTTTGGTTGATGACGAAGGAGCCAAAAACTAAAAATTGATATGTATTGGAAGCATGAACAATTTCCAGGAAATGTTTGGAGTCCATCGGTGTAAAACGAGACTTTTCTAGCGTTTGAAAAATTTCGGTAAGAAAAAATTTCAGTTTCAGAAAAATTCGATGGGATTAATATTCGGTTGCCCTGCTTCACCGAAAATAAATCCCACCGATGGTACTTGTTGGTACTTAATGTAACTCCAGTGTGAGAAGAACGGCGTGATGACGCACATAGAAATTTTAAAGGGGGCGCTATTTTGCTGATACCAGGTACCTAATTGTAGATGCAAACCGATTCAGTGCTTGAATGCCGCTAGCGTTCATTCAAATACATCTTGATTCATCAATTCAATTTCGGTCTCATTTTTAGTACAAGCTATGCATTAGCCTTTATTTTCATTAAGTCAATAATTCGTCTAGTGCAATTGAGTTGTACGATTTTGTCTTTGAATTGATGGATGATAGCTTGGTTGAAATATTTTTTCTTGCATTGTTAATCGTTGCAGGTATCTAAAAACTTTGGTTAAGGATGTCGATTACACTTAACGATAGAATTGAGTTTAATGCAAATCTCCGTCAGTACCTGCCAAGAAAGTATTTAACGCAAGACTACATTGTTCCTCATTCACAAGCTCGAAATTCAGAGGTTTGATTACATGTTCATCTATCTTGCATTGAGGCTACAGGGTAAAAGCAAATGCATTCAGTATAGTGAAAGAATCATTGAAATCTCGTGAAATCTTTCGACTAAGCCAAAAGCAAATTCAATATGGCAGGAGCTGAAGCCATTTTATCAGTAACTTTGTTTATTGAGATTTCTGTGAAAAATAACGAAATCTTTATTCTTACCTCTCCGGTTGCTATGTAATTGTCATCAGGTATCTCTAATTCCGGATATATATTATCTAAGTACCATTTGAAGGTTTTACAGCCTAGCTGTTTCCGCAAAGCTAATCTTTCAGTGACGTCATCGTGCTCCTTTCGTTTCAAATCAAACCTGCAAAAGTTAAAAGAAAATAAGACAAATGAGACCTTATTTTGCGCGTCTAAGCATTTCTGTCACTAAGGCAAAATTTCTTTCTTGAAATAATTTTGGTTTGATATGGGTGTTGGTCTCCATAATCGTCCTCCAAAATACATCTAGGCATTAATGGTTGAGAATAATCAAAATAATCCATTTCTTTTTTCAGTCTCGAAGTTGTTTTCAAATCTTTGTACGAGCATCCAACGTGCTTCACGGCTACAAGCCATTCTGAAGTCACTTTTCTGAGATCATAGGCTCTGTGGAATAAACAAAATCAAAATATGAAAATGTTTATTCAAGTATCGATGGATACAATTTTTATTTATTGCTCAAATCCAGTTTGTGATTGTACGTCCAATGATCAAAATATGTACAAAGATGTAAACTCTTGGAAAATGATCCATTGATAATCAGTGACCAACCTAATATTATAAAAATGCTTCGAATAATCGTCCATCCAGACATCTGCTACCCGCATCAAGTTCCTACTAACGACATCGCCATCACGCCCTTTGCGATTCGGAAACGAATAAGGAAATCGAGGTCGAAACACGTGACCGACGCGAGAGCAAGGTAGCATTTCGATTGAACCCTCACACATCCAAATCTAGAAACAATAAAGAATTATTGAACTAAGCACCTAAAAAGAGTCGAGCGATCAATAAATTAGCTGGCACTTAGAGATGATTCACATCGCAGTCTAGTGCTACTGCCAGATAAATGAAATGCTACATTTTCTTATGACAAAATATAATGAAGGTAACTGTTTACTGGTCTGTTATAACATGCTCGATGCCGTAAAGGCAAAGCTCTCTACGTCTTGGTATCTAGAACAGGATGGTTCTAAGTAGCAACTCGGACGCAAATTCATGCAATGAAAAGACATTCTATGTTAACAGCAATGTTTTTGATGTCCCAACGAGCGTTTTGGTGGCCTGCGTGAGTTTCAAATAAGCTTAACCACAACGTAAAGGGCAAAGAAGAAAAAGATACAATAAAATAATTTTGAAACATGCACAGTTTCTTATTAATAAATTGGATATTGGATATGGCCAAATTCCAAACTTGTTTTGAAACATCGTATATACCCATGGAATGTTTCTAAAAACAGTAACAGAATCGTTCCAATATTAAAGATTAGCGATCATTTGATGAGAGCTGCCTTAAACGTAATCCCAACTAAAATAAGTTTATTATTACGATCACCAGTTAGAAATCTAGTTATCTATCTGAATTTACATTTGGAAAAGATTGTAGGGCCTCAAGGTCACAAGTTTTCGCCCTCAGAAACCATCCCTAATTATCAAAATAAATAAGAACATATCTATACATACTCTAAAAGATATTTCGATATTCTCTCCTCCCCATATGTCCATTCCTTGGTCATACGTGCCTATTTCTTCAAAATATTTTTTGTCAATCGAAAAAAGACCGCCAGCCATAACAGGAGTCCTGAAAAAACAAATATTAAGAGTTGATTAGGACCGTGCTAAAAAAAGATTAAGCTATGGGTATACTTTTATTAGGACGAGAAACAAGAATCTGTTACGTCACAAAGCAAATCATGCGATATTGTCAACGTTGAAAGATTCACAGAATTTGAATTTACAATAGTGTCGAGTTATATGTTCACCATTAATATATGTTATGAGTCTTTCACGGATCAGAATCGATAGATGCAGCAACATAAGCAAGAGCCTATTCTGGCTGTCTAAATCATAAAGACGTTCTGTTTACATTAAACAATTTTTCAGGATAAATCTTTAAATAAATTGTTCCAATTGGACTTTCAAAAGGACTTCTAGATCAGGATTTATAGATGACACATGAAAGGCATGACTATCTGATGGTGTTTGTTACGTTTTATTCCGAAGGGTTCAGAAGACGATAGCAACTAATCTACGTCTACGATTGACTGTAAATGTTAATTCACCAATGATATGCGACCATCTTTACAATCCAACATGGGCAAAACCGTACAGCTGATATGGAAACAGATTTTGCTGCATAGATCAATTTAAAAAAGAGAGCTGGATAAATGCAATCCTCTTTTATCGCATTATGATGCATACGCATCTGCTTGTGTTTAATGTATTCACAACGTGTCTTTCAGATCAGCTGTGATTAATCAAGACAAAACTGCCCAAATCAAAAGCTAATCTTTTTCCAAATATATTCTTCTGGTGAGATTCTCATCAGAATTTCAAATCGTGGTAACCATTCTGGCTTAAATCTGACAATAGACGTGCAGTTTACAATCTAATGACATTATAAAACATATGTTAGCTAAAAGTTAATCGAATTCCTCATGAACAGATTTCAATCAAGCAGGGTTTGCCTCCATGGATAGGTACTTGAGCAATATGAATTTAAAGATGTTTGCTTCATAAGAAGCCCTTGGAAGTCTTGAAAGAATATTTGACAACGCACTGAAATACCCGCATTAGCCTTGGATTACAACAAACTACACTGATTCAGGGGTAAAAAGAGACCATGTCAGATCAGGCTTTGGACAAATTCGAGAACATTCACAATCATATGAAAATAATAAATTATGTATAGAAAGTTGTTTGTAAGTAAAATAGTTTACAAGTGCAAGTGAAGTTTCGAAAATCAGCAAAACTATTAAATAGTAGGAACGAAATCACCCAGCCCTCCTATGCATAAATAAGCATTCCTTTTTTGCCGTTATAACAGCTAATGAATAAGTACCATCACAAATCTTTTTTTACATCCTGGCTTTTCAAATAGAAAAAGTTTGTATCATATTTGATTTCTAATAATTGCATCGACAACAAAATACTTTGTTGCCCTGTGACTCCAATAAACATTACGGGAGGATCAAAATGCCGCAACCTACTTTATGCCGTCTGTCTCATCAGAACGCCTCTCCATTTCATATTGTGGTATAGGCCTCCAAGTGAATTCCAGCCTCCACTTGAAAACGCCTCTTTGAAACGGTTCGGGAACAGCGTTGTAGTGAAAGTTTGTTTCACTGATTTCGTCAATAACAGGCATTACAACACAGCGTCTATCTTTCTTTATTCGTGCAAGGAGAGGCTCAACCCAGCCTATCGTGCACTCACAATGGGCATCAAGAAATGTGAGGACGTCTCCCCTCGCTTTAGAGGCTCCCTGAAGCCTTGCTCGAATGAGTCCTTCGCGCTTTGATAGTCTTATGATTCGTATCTTTGCTAAATTCATGACATAATCGTCTAGCCGCTGCTTTAAGTCATCTGCAATCACGATAAGAATTGACTAATATTGCGTACAATGTATAGTACCAAATAAACAAAAAAAGTTAAACATACACCCTCCTTGATCAAGACTCGAAGTAGAATTTTTGTGAGTTCTTAAATTGATGAAAACCCACGAAAAGTATGTACAGTACAAACTCCATGGGTCCATAAGCTTTCACAGGCAGTTTGTCAAGACGCTCCTCATCCTTACTCAAATACTCCCTACATTAAACCTAACTCTATTGTAGAACACTAGTGAATCATCGCTAGGGTTGAAAATATTTCCAAAAATGATAGAAATTAATAGCAGTCTAAAATTGAAATTGCAAGTGCTAGATGCCTGGCGAACCATCCAGCCAAGTGGATTTTGTGGCAGAGTAACATTTTTACCAATAGAGATTACTAAAATCGACATATTTTTATCAACTTTTTGGTAGAGGGCTTTACCATGAACTTCACCCCTGACGTAATCACCAGAAAACTTTCCATTAGCAATTTCGTCAAAAACCAGTCATCTTGATACGAAGCATCACGATTCAGATCACGCGATTCAGAAGGCAATGGCACACGAAATAAATACAAAATATTCACACTTGAAACTGTTTGGACTCATAGCCATATATCTATAATTCATTATCAGCACTTATAGTGTGAAGCATTTCATTTGCCCTCTTAATTTTTTACCGTAGTATTAGCTACCAATTATTGGTGGCAAATAGTTTTACCAGACCAAATTGATTAGTCATGAATATTTTATCGACAACGTTTTTTAGTTAATAGGATTGGAAATGAATGTGAGCAATTTCCAGCAATATAGAGTCACTTTGTATTTTCGAAATGCTTCTTAGTCGCTTCTTAGTGAATCGAAGTATCCGTAAAAGGGCAGCCGCTTCAACGCAGAGTTGCAAGATTGGCCTTTTTAGCAACACTTTTTCAATTGAAAGAGCATTATCATACATTGAAACCCCAAATATCATATACTATCACCTAATCTAATGATTAGCAAAGAAGATTATCAAAACACAAAGTTTCTCAGCTTCTTCTTCGAATTTGGAAAATTATTTCAAAGGCATGTGCATATGTACTACGCTTGTAGAGTGTTTTTTGAGTAAGTTCTTGATTTACCCTTTTTATGGCCCGGGTTAGTCACCCGTCTGGCCTTATTTTGTAATTCCAATCTGGCAACCCTGTGTGATGGGCTGCATCTCTGTTTCTAGAAATGACCGCTTTATAAACATTCTGTTCAAATGGTATGCTTAGTTGCTTACCCCTTGTGCTTGCATCATCTACCAGGATAATTTCTTTAAGGTAACGAGGTGGAGTCCTGTTAATTACACTGTGAACAGTTCTGAGAAGTGTAGACCAAGCTTCATTGTGAAAGCAAATAATAACACTTGTTGTCGGGAGATCTGGTCTGTACTTCTTCACTTTGCACCTGTTGAAAAAAGCAAAAGTGGATGTCAATATTTTCAAATTGCTAAGAAAAGGAAAGAATATAATGTTAGCTTTAAGTAGTTTGATCGATCGCAAGAAGTTTCGAAACACAGGCCAACGGTTGTTTGTAAAATAGGTTATATTCTAGCCGATACTATTAATCTAAGTGTTGGTTGAGCCGACGGTAGACTCTAGAAAAAACCTAGAGTTGCGAGGTAGCCATTTTGTATTAGAGATTTTACTGAAAAGCATGTACGGTCTGGCAAATGAAATCTAATAGGCTATCAATTAAAAAGCGAAGTGCCAATCAGCAACAAAACAAAGCAAACAAAACTGTAGACTGCCCCTACGCTTAGAGCATAAATGTAAAAATCATTGTCTCTTGTGGTTTTTTTTTCTTTCTCTACAGGAAAATTTCCAGACTATTTGAAGGTTACTGCGCTAGCTCATGTCTACATAGGTTTCGTTCCACCTGTTAGCTGTAGCATCGAAGCAAAGAAAAATATTTAAGAAGAAGGAGACAAAATCATGTCCCACAAGCATCTTAAATAGTTCCCTTGCTTTTTCTATTCTACTTTCCTCCATATCTATTGCCGAAGTTAACAATTCCGTTCATAAGAATTTGCAGTTACTTGAAAAAGGGCTTATATAGAAATATTATCCCTTTACGGTTACTATAATTAATGCAAAGCATTTTGGTAGGCCTCAGATATAATCTTAAAAAGTTGCTATCCAATGTTCTCCAGCCTTCCAAAAAAGGTCAAAGACGACAAAATAACTGACGCAAAATCACAGAGATCATGCATCAAAAATAGCATCAAAATAGCAAAAATTTCAAAACAAACGGAAAACGTAGCGATTTCTATCATAACCAACCTATCTTGAGTTCATTTTGTGTTGTTTGAGCTAACTTGCGTTATGTATTTCTATACAATAATTTTATAGTTTCTTAGATAAAACTTCATCCCGTGTAAAGAATCTTAGGGTTAAACAAATTAAATTAAATAACCTGTATTTCTGACATCGGAAAGCGATTTTTCATACAGAATTCCTCCTCTCCTCATCTTCTAAAGAGCATTAGTAGGTAAACGGAAATTTATCAAAGTTGTTACAGTTAAACTCGTGAGAATATACACTGCACAGGGGTATTATTCCTTTGCTTACAGAAGATCTATATCTAATAGCATAAAAAATCTGAAAATGAAAACACAAAAACCAGCTCAGCGATGCTTAGATCTGCCGGCATTTCTGCTTTTAACCATTCAAATATGAATAAGGTAAACCTCAAAATTAAAAAGCCTGTGAGGAATTTCTGAATAATTTATAGGTTAGTAATTATCTTGTATTTTCTATTGAGTCCAACTCCCATTGCAAAACGAGTTTATATAAACAGTGACAAAGTTCTCAGCCTTAGTTATTTACCTGCTTTGCCCATTCATTGAAAAATCACTTCAGGCAGAAATGAATTTTCTGTACACTGACTTTTCAGATCAGCGCAACAGAGAGATTTCTTTGAAATTCACGTTTTAACTGGTCCAAACTCGCTGCAGCTGAATAATTAATGTCAAATGAATAAACTTACTATATTCAACTAGCTTACGGAGGAGCTGGAGTGAATCAAAATGAAATCAAGTAACATGTTTATGACCCTATGTAAATCCCAGATGTCGTTCAGTTGCAAATGTTGAGATTTTTTGTCAACTTAGTCATGTGGTTCAGTGATAACGTGGAGTTTGCAACTGTTATAGGTTAAGATGTTTCCCGGGTATATCAAATGAAATAAACATAATTTGTGTGAAATTTCAAAGTTGATAATCTAGCACAGATGTTTTTCTGTATCTTAAATGCTAAAACTATTGGCAAAAGGAGTCTCTTCCCGACTAAAATTCCTTCAACACATCTTCCCAGGATGGAATCATTCAATTTAAATAGTTTAATGTGCGCCATTCAGTCCAGTTTTGCTGATTTAATGTTTGATGTAACGATGTTTAATAAAAGAGAATTTATTTCATCCAAGGTACGTTAGTTTGCAAAATATGAGTGAAAGAGAAAAGAATAAAAATGAGAAAGGTTTAGACCATACTTGGCCTGCCTGTAATCTTTAAGCCTCCTATCCAATGGAATCAAATCACTGGCCAGGCTATTGAATGCATGCTGTTGATACCCTGTCTGTTCTTCTTTCATTCGGAAAAAAGGAATTACAACTCCTTCACCATTCTCTCCAGGTAGAAGATGCTTCCTCCATGGGCTGTTATCATACATTGCTAACACAGGCCCACTATCATTTGCAAATGCAAACGAATCTTCATAATCATCGTCGCTGCTTTGTTCATGAATGGAGGCTTCGCTTCTAGCAAAATACTCCTTGACTCTCAGATCTCTTGAGAAACCAACGTACAATATAATTACCGTCATCCATGTCAAAATCACAAAGCGAGATTTCCTTAAACGAAGTCTTCGAGGGAACATTTCAAATGATTTTTCCTGAATCCTCAACTTTCTATATATTCAAATCACGATAAACCAATTGTTACTTCATACAAGCCGATCTGCCTCTGTTATCGCATCTTGCATTATGTTACAGTTGCACATCAGATATTTATCTTGAATGTTATATTCTTTACTTATGACTTGAACAAAGCTTCATCGTGAGCATGAACAACTCTGATACCTAACAATCCATTGAATATAAACTGCGTAGATAGTTTTTGAAGATTATGCAAAATACACTATTCCATTGCAAATGAAGATCACCAAGGAGACTCTTCGGAAAACTTGATGAACTGTAAACTGACAGATCAGATTCGAAATGTTCTCAAATCCTTTGTTTGTACCAATCAACTACAGTTAGATAAGCAACATTTTGTCATATTTCCATTGGCGCAACAGCATCTTCTACACGAGTGATGTTTACAAAGCGTTGAATTAAATTCAACATACATTATTCTTTGGAATTCTAGTAATTAACATTTGCTGGTGTCGGGTCGGATTGAGTTTGAACAGGTGTTTGTCAAAGCGCCTGAATGGCCCCTCTGTCTCAATAAGCTGTTACTCTGCGTTGAGTCCCTTGTTGAACAATTGTTCAACTAGAATATTTTCCTTCAGCATTAACACATATCTTACTGAAAGACATCATGTTGAATATCTTTGGATAATAGATTCAAATTTAAAATCAGGACGTTTGATGGCCATGAGCCTCTGCAATGTAAGACTTTCTTTTTTAAACAGTCGCTGCATCCGCTCATCGCCAAGTTTGACTTGCTTTTCACCGGCTCCTTGGGTTCCTATCTATTAAATACTTAAAATCGATAGACAGCACTTCAAATGTGCAAATATTTCTAGCCACGTTATTACTTGCGTAGTTCAGTTTCCAAGGGAACACGATTCTTCTTTGAAACTCATCACAGACCAATGTTGTGAACAAAAACATGTCCATTGCTAGCGAACTGGAGTCCACGTGCTGAAGAACATAATCCAAGGCTGCACAGTAGCTTTATCCGTGCTTGAAGCAGATGAATCAGTTTTTACGAGCAATTTTTTTCTAGTTAAATCAGCTGACCCACAAAACACGCGAAAACACGCCCATTGCTGAGAATTTTCGTATGGGAAAATGTTTTGGAAAATTAATGGCAAGTGACCTAGAGAGTTGGTAAGAGTTGTTTCAGCAAAGATTTAATTTTAGTAGTAGCTGAGAATTATACCACTTAAAAGAGCATATCCCTTTCTCTTCATCAACAAAATGCAAGAAGGACTACCTAGTTATAATTTTGTTACAAAAAATCATCCCGTTACAGACAAAAACACAGAAGTCCGCAAAAATGCTGGGTTGTTGAAACTACCTGTCATTTCATTATAAAAACATTTTCCTGACTTATTCTAATCGATTCTTTGACAGTGAGTGGTGAATTTTTATTTGTTAAACATTCCATTTTCAAGTGCAACAATTGAAAAATCCATTTACAAAGCTATGATTGAGCGACGGCTTTCTATTTATCGGATGTACTTTTCCTCCTACCGGTTGGTCACCTTTGCAACCTACTCTTTTGTACTGATTTTATAAACAGTCTTCAATGGAACACGATGGACTATGGACTTGAAATGTGGCTTGCTTATTGTTGTCAGCTTCTTTGATAGCTAACTTTGTGATCTGATTGTTTATAAAATATGATCAGGCTTGCAGCGCCTATTTGATTAAAAAGTAAAATGAAATAATTCAGATAAATTCTTACGCAATGGCTACAATATCATATCACGCAACGAAAGCTGTTTATTTTACAAACATGGATCAAATAGAAGTAGCAATCAGTTTGAAGCTTATATATTCACTCTGCAAACAGGCGTAATCCTGTTCGATAAACCTAACCAAGTATTTATTAATACTACTAGCATTATTCATGACCCCTGCCACTGAGATAGGCAGTAATCATGAACAGAGAGGCGGGTCAGGGAGCCTTCAGCCCCCAGTTATTCCACAAAAATACTTAAAACCATGAACTGAATCAACTGTAATTGGTTACTAGCATAGTAAAACACTTAACCGCCAATTTCAGTGTTTTTGTTTCTTGAGAGATTCGTGATATTAATTTCAGCAAGTTCATTTAGGATCTATTTGTAATTGTTTGTACTTGAAGAAAAGTTGCACTTGATTTTAAGGATTAATACTAAAGATAAGAGACTCAAACGGTTTTTGAATTTTTAGCAGAAACTGAACCAAAGCAGGATAAACTAAGAATAACAAACGGAGATAGTAATGTTCTTATGGTAGAAAATACTTTTATTTGAAACTCGTGATATTTTATCTAGAGACTTCACTTCCGTTAACAGTATACTGGTCTTTACGAACAAAGTGCATTTTTTACTGTTTGCGTCTAAAGTCTTATTGCATCCAGCTAATCATTTTGACGAAAAACTACAAAATTTTGGTATTTAATGCTTTCAAAATTCGCATCGTATTGTATGAAAGAACAAAATACAGCCCATTTCTTCTCATGTGAAAAAACAGCGACTGAGTTTCCGATACTCGATACATTTGACATGTGGAAAGTATAAAGTAGAGAGAATAAGGAGGAAGTTGAAAATTTTGCTCCTAAAATTCTTCAATTGAAAATAGTGCTTTCTAAATTCAATCTTAATCAATGTTATCCTAAAATGACCGCACATTTCTGCAATTGGGTCTGCTGAGTCCCGTTAAGGTTTTTTGGGCGTTAAAAAATGTGTTTTAAAACGCATATGAGAAATAATTTGATCATTTTCAAAATATATTCTCTTTTGATTCATATTCGAATTAATAATTAAAGAGCAGCTATGAAAATTTGTGGAAAGAAACATGACACATGGTTTCGCGGACTGCCAGAGGTGCCAGAGCAACTACCCTAGTTACCAGAGCCACATATTCTTAAAAACGCAGAAAATAGAAGTGGAGCGTATCCGTCTCTTTGCCGCTCCGCTTAGTTTTCGCGCTCGAAATTTGATGGCTCTGGTACCCAGTTTACATAGCAACATGTCTGGAAATGTAAGAGTGGAGCGGAGAAGTGGAGGAGCATTTGGTCGCAAAAAATGATTGTAGTTCTTAACTTGTTAAATTGCTTATTCATTAAGGTATTACTTACTTGAAATCAGCGATTGCTATGCAATATAATAAACACATTAAAATCGCGCTGTTAAAGCTATTGCTATCGTTAATCTGCAACAATCCTATACCATTGTCCCGGCAACTATGAAAAATCGGCGCTTATGAAAATTAATCAACTGAAATCTTGGTTGGGTTTTTCCTTTTTATCAGAAAATAATAAGTTTTTAAACAGACTCCACGCATTATTATAGCGCATTTTCTTTAATGACTAAAGCACACAGATTAGTGTTAAAGCAAATTAACGGAACGGCGACAAGCATAAACTTATTCATTTAAAGAATAATAAAATTTGGGGAGAAGGCCAATTTTCTTAGTCTTTTGCAGGTGTATTGCTAAGGAAAAAAATTTAACAGCAAATTAAACTTATCAGAGGTCTGGCTTCCCTATTCAAAGCAACATCCTGAACGGCAAATTAATTTTCTTAAAAAACAGGCTGAAACATAGCTGATGGATAAATAGATAGAGATAAATGGGATAGATAGAAACGAAGTTCTTACTAGAAAAATACGATATCTCCAGGAACGCCCGCCATAAAAATTGCCTTTAAACAACAAGTATCAAGAACAACAGAGGAAACCGCATTTTTCTCACTTTCTTGTCTCGTAAATAATTTTGAGCTTTCTTCACAAAAAAAAGTTGCTTTAGGTGAGGTGATAAGACAGGGGCGATAAAATTCTTTCAGGAAGGGGTGTTAACCTGGTCACTTAGCGACATTGCTTTTGTTTTTTGCTCAAGCTTAGTTAAACGAAGTTTAAGAAAGACAATTAACAGTTTTGTTTCTTCCGTCGACCTAACCATACCCTAAAAGTCCGTAAAAAGATATCCGCCATGACATTGAAGCTTTGACGTAAACGGAACACAAAAAGGAATTTTATTCCGTGCAAAACAGACGTCCAGCTGGTAGCAAAAATACGAGAGACATGTGGCAACAAGGATATTTGATTCAGATGACTAGGACGTTTGGTTTAAAAACATCTATCATTAAAAACATTTAGTAGTAGGGGCACTGTTGTCACATTCTGCGCTGCTTTACAATCTGCGGAGGGTCCTCACAATCATAGTCATATGGCTATATTATCATCGATTATACAGTTGGCAAAACAAAGAACACCACTTACACCAACCAGAGAGTTCCAATACGCCAGAAGGGCAATCAGACACAAACTCGATAGTGTCACCAAAGGTTATTTTTGGTCAAAAGTTATCAAGCCTAACAATGCAGCGTCACCAGAGTGAAAAGACTGGAGTAAACAGAAAGAACAGCTTCTAGGGCTGAATTGTCCAGAAGGCTATTGCGTCCTATGGAGAAGTGAAAAATGGGAAACGCCATTTTTAGCAGTTGATTTTGAATCATTTGAAAATACCCACTCGAGTAGAAATTTTGGAGATGAACATGTCCCTCTTGAATTGAGAGGTCTTGGTCAAAATGTCCATAAACTAAATCAAATTATCAAGAATAAATCAAGTTGTTGAAAAATCTAAACGGTTTAGGACAATCATAAATGTTAAGTGCAGAGGTTAACTGCTATCGGTTATGAGTCAAAATTGTACAGTTTCAATATACAGAAGTTGTTGTTTGGGTCTTTTAACGAAATGTGTTCTTCAATTTTGTCCAATTTTGAAACAAACAGCTACATGACTAAAAGATTGAAGATAAACTAGACGAAAAAACCAGCCCCATACCATGTATTATTTCGAGATAGGGGCAACGGACACCATTATCTTCAGGGGGCATCAATGACATCTAAGCTTAAAAAAATATGAGAGCCTTCGTAGGGCGTACTTTCGAAAAGAACGTACTTTCCTGGAGGATGAACTTTCCGGGAGAGGGAACTTCCCTGAAGGGCAAACTTTCCTGGAGGACTTACTTTCTGAGAGAGTGTGGTTTCAGGGTTGGTGCGAAACAGAAATATGTGGGGTGCCAGGGAAAGGTTCCTCGCCCTTTTAAGTGCTGGCAACACCCGCTTTGAACGGTATTGCACAAAAAAATGGCACAGACATTTCGACCTCGACTAAATTGTCATCGTATAATCCAGTGCTGTTATTTGTATCCTTGGCACCCCTTCTACTATTTTCTCATTTATTATGGATGCAATTAAAAAATTAATCATTACACAAAGTGGGGTGGAAATATCGACCCCAGCACAAACTGTAGCACCGCCCCTGTATATTTTGCGGGATGCACGTTTGTATCAACGTATTTGCCTGCGTCGATGAAAATGTTTTTTGTTAAACAATCCTATTGCTTGAAAGGCAAACTCAAGAAGCCATGATATCATTATGCGTGGAAAATGGTTTGAGCTTTAGGCCAATACAGAATAACTGTTACACGTTTACCATGACTCAATGCGGGTCGACATTTGAAATTTCTTATCTGTCTTCACAACAATCGTTGAAATTTTAAATGGATCTGAAATAAACTCATATCAGAATACCATACATGGATACAATAATTCGGTGGGGGATTTTCGTTCATTCTCCATAGTGTGGGTTTATTTGGAATTTTGAAAAAACCAGATAAAGAATATATCTTGAAACCGAATAAAAACAAATTAAACGGACAAAAAAACCACTTTACAATGTATTTGCCTGGCAAGATTGGTTGATTTCATGCTCAGAATATTTTTGCAGAATTTCGTTGCAACTGCTGCTTTCATGTACAGGAACCTTAGATTGAAAATTTTTCTTATAAACCGACCTGATTTCAAAAACTCATTCTTTACTTTCAAGACAAAAGTGACATTTATCTAGCAAAAACATTTCATTAATGACTCGAGAATAAGGCAAACAGGCAAAAATAGATATCAACTTTCACAAGCTGTTGGATTCAGTATGACATTGTTCACTTTGCTACATTAAAATATGGATAGACGATACAGGCTTATGGGCACCCCACTGTTTACGAGATTGTCAACGCCAAGGAGGAGGGGCTCTACGTCTAACTTAATCAAGTGAACGCGCCCCTTTCTACAAAACTTTGTACAGAAGTGAAAAATGCCAACTTCGTTGCGCAGGGGACAAAAACAAAGAAATTTGCCAAGTAAAGATACTTAATGGACGAAAAAACAAGGAAACGTAAGCTATAAAGCATTGGAAAATGTTTATTGAAACAGCAGTTTTTGCAGTTGTAACCAGTAGTTGATGACCAATCTGTTATCGATTGTTCTTAAAATGTAAACAACAAATAAAGAAAATAAAGCAGCATACCTTTGATGTCTGTAATCCCGTAAACTTCGGTGCACTGAAATTTTGTCGCTAACAAGCTGATTAAATGCATGCTTTTTGTATCCCTCCTTTTCTTTATCTTTTTCTTCAGCGCTCACACTGACACCTTGACCTAACTCACCAACTCCTTTTTGATCCCGAAATATAGGCCTTTCATAATTAGCTGTCACTGTCTCATCTTCACTATTCAAAGCTAATTCAACCAAAGCGTTGCTTATATACGACTTTGATTTTCTAACATCCTCCGATATCAACTTATTTGCCTCTTTTCGTTCTGTTTTACCCGGTATTTCAACCAAAACATTTCCTTCTGGTTTTTCTTGATTCGTTTTCAAGTTCTTGACGGTTTCGGGTAGCTGATCTATTCTTCGCTTCACTTGCACTGTCACCTCGATGTCCTGAAAGAATAGGAATGTTATCGTGCCTGTTATCCATAGTATTGAAGCTAGTATAATAGCGTAGTAGATGGCTCGCCGTCTCGGATGCATAGGGCGCTATGTTGTTTTGAATTCCCTTGCTAACCTCCAGGTTTTGATTTGTCTGCGAAATATACCTAAATACACTCATTAACGCACGAGATTTCAAGCAATGTTCTTCGATCACTTTAGCGAGAAATTATCATTTTTTTTCAATGCATTGCACCAGGAATAGTATTTGTCTAACTACTATCTTTTTGCAAAATCCAGCAGCAACTGCAAAAGTATTGTAAAATGTCCGATCAACGATCATTGAAAATATAATAGCCGACAAGAGTTCTAGATCTGTCCAGTGCTAAACGAAAGGTAGAAAGTCAACTGATAAACACCTGTCTTGAACACAATCTTTCGATCATCTTGCCCTGAAACGCAAAACTTGAACAGGTTAAGTGAAACTAACCCACAAACAGCACATCGCTCAGGTTCACATGCCCACAATCCAGTTACAACAACGTGGCAAAACTCTCCCTTCAACTTCTCTTCGACATGGATTAATCTAGTTGAAAGAAACGGTTATTGTTATAGAAAATATCCAGCTTCTTTGTTTACTTCGCTGTCCAAGTGAATGAAGATGACGTCATCAAAAGAAAAGATACTCCTTGAAGCGGACTCCAGCCAGCTTCGTTATTAGCCATGAGAATGATTCCGGGGGAGAAGGATTAATATGACGATTATGTGGAGGAGTGCCATATGGTTTGATTAATCCAGCGCCACTTGATTGGGATCAGGCAATGTCAGTCCTGATTTCTATTTTGGTTAAACAAGTGCAAGCAAATGCAATATATACCATAACTGACCTTAATAAGATCACAACCCAACAAAATATTATTTATATAGCGCAAGACAGCGAAGAAAAGAAAGCTATGTTTACTTATTTACAAAATCAATGGGAATCGTTTAAAAACATTGGGCAAAGAAGCGCTTTCCCTTTGACTTTGAAATATTTAATGAATTCACATGGACAGGATGAATGCGCAAACAGCTTTACCGCCACACTGTTTAGACATAAAAAATATTACTATTTTCAAAAAGCGTTTAATAAAAAGGTGTATGGGCCTGAAATAAACTTTACTTGCAGAGTTCAGAGCTCCCTCCGGCTAGGATCATGTGGTTTGACTTCTGATGTGATCCTTGATCGGTTATATTGACAATAGCAGGCCTGGGGTTTCCAGAAACAACTAAATTTCTCCGCAGACAAACGAATTTAACGTATCTTCTTTTCTCATTTACTCCCATCTAACCAAAACCCACAAACTTCGATTTTTAGTCATTTTCTCCAAACAACTTTTAATCCATGTAAATTTTTAGCCTTTACGCTTGCAACATACAGTTCTTTGGTTGATAACAGTAATTTACTTACTGAACAAATTAACTTGTATAAATATGAAATATTATTATCATTATTATCATTATTATCATTATTATCATTATTATCATTATCATTATCATTATTATTATTATTATTATTATCATTACCATTGTAATAGTGAAATTTGTAATTGTAGTTTTGATTGAATTGAAAATGAAAAGTTTCCACTATCATTTATTATCCGGCACTTGATGCTCTTCGCATTATCTTCAAACTCATTTTATATAGCTAAATCATGCCAAATAACACTGTCTAATGTCAGCTAGAGCTAAAATCGACATTTTTGTACAGGACAACGAAAACATCCCAGCTTTCGATTCCAAAAATCACACTTGTCGCCTGGTTTGCAAGCCAAGTTGGAAGCGTCCTCTATGATAATTTTTGCGTAAACGCCTAATATTGACCAAATCTAAACATGAATCGTTTTCAAATATGCAAAAAGGAATACGTTCTGCTCTCTGTTTTCAATCAAGTGGAAAAACAGTTATCATATTTCAGCTTTATCTTATCGATCGTGAGAATCTTGGGTACAGTCAAACTTAGTATTTAGCCACATTTATTTAACAATAACAGTTCTTATACAAAAATGTGCATTCCTATTTATCCTGAATGGCTAAGGTAAGAGTGCAACCGGCTTGTTTTCCACAGAGGAGGACCGGATGATGAGGTTCAAATCCGCTTCATTGCATAATCATGAATAAAATAGCATTTAATGTATAATAAACAAATCAGTTTAGAAGAAAACGCCATCTAAAAAAATCGAACAAATCTATGAGGAAAATTAAACGGAAATACCCTACCTATCTGTCAAAATTATTATTGAAAAATCTGAGGCAGCCTTTGAATTTTTTCAAACGTATTGTGGCCATGGTTGCCATTTGGGATTATTCAATCCCAGATTTCACGAAACTGGGACTGTGGAAAAGCTGTTAGGATCAGAAATTGTTATCTGGGATTCAAAGTAAAAATTGGGATTTTTTCGGGATTATCAGACATGAATGGATAATTTGTTATAATTGGTCCATGGATTGCTCAAATTGGCTGTTATGTAACCCCTTGAGCACTGCTAATGACAATGTCGTGAGCCACAAAATGGTTGACTTGAATGAACATTTTGTAATTTATAGTTTGTTTTATGATCAGTTAAAATTTTTTAGTGATTCTATTTGTCATTCTATAAATATAAGCAATTTACTTTTCCTTGGTTTATGTTATTGGCTCCCGTTCAAATACTTTTGGGAGGGGAGTGTAAATTTTATTTGATTTTATTTGAGTTTTCATACCGACTGTTACACTGACTGAAAATTTGAAAGTTATATGCTGTTGATCTGGTTCATCATACTTCATAAACAAGGCACAAGTTCAAGCCTTCATACTTATATTTCAATTCTTATGGCAACTAACTCGACTATTAATGTCAAATTAAGCAACCGTAACAGTGAATAATGCGTAATTCATTGCCCAGGAAATATAGAAGGCAAAGCTGCAGAGGGATATCTATCCCTTTCTATAACCTGTGCTCTAAAGGAATCTACTTTTGAAAAAATTGAGATTGATTTGGGATTGAGTTTCAGAAACTTTGGGATTGAGGATTTGCTAGCACTTGGCAACCCTGATGTGGCGTGTAGAAATATTTCGCCGTTTACTATTTTATAAACAATTAAATAAAAAACAGAAAACTTTAAAATCAGTTGGACTTTTACAAGAATAACAGCACAACATAGTGTGCTGTGACTATATTTTTCAGTCTCTAATACTGTGAACACTTTATAGGCGGTACAGGATTTGAAAATGGCTTTAAAACAGGCAAAAATTTCACGATATACTTACTTAAAGCTTTTTCGTCTGATAATCCTTAGATAATGAAACGTCAGAATAAAGGTCCGAAAGAACACGATGAAAAATATATACCCAGTTGCGGATCGAAATAGGCCAATCAGAAAAACGCGAGCACATGACCGGTTTAGTTATCCAATCAGTACCGCTTGCCTATAGGAAAACTAAACTAGATTCCAAGAGAAAAATGAAACTCCTTCTGTCCAAACAATATTTTTTTTTATTGTATGTAGAACGATTCCAAAACTACATGTCGTCATTAAAGATTTTGGCACCATCTGGGTTATCTAAAAAATATTGCCCGTGGCAGAGTCACTTGTTTTAACGGTGTTTCTAGACCTACAAGATCGAGGAGGCTGTTCTTTTTGAAGAACAGTTGTGTTTCTCATATCGAAAGGAGCATGTTGTTTTACCCTTCCCTCCAATCTTTGGTTTGTGCCTCCTACATAGCCAGATCACAGTGGCACGAGGAGCAAAGGAACTCTTTTGGGTGGTAGGAACGCAATCCTTTCGAATGGATGAAAGGGTTCTCCTAGTGCCCTAAATAGAGAACGTCTAAAACATTAATGGATGAAAAACTGTGATATCGAGTTGAATTAAAAGCTGAATTTACATTAGACCAAATGCAAACGTCTAACAATAATAGACAAAAAAGATAAATCGTACATTTTCATGTTGGTTAATCTGTTGCATGCTTAAAAGAAAGATGAAAATGAAAACACAGTTGCATTCTAAGAACGGACACACGTGCATATGTTTACTGCTGGCTATTAAAATCTACAAGATATCTCAAATAATTTTCTGGCGGCACAAAATTTGAAAATGATTTTGAAAAAAAGGTTTTTTCTGTTGAAAAACAAATGTTTGCTTTTAGCAAAGCCATATCTTGAAATCTGGAATAATTTAGAACACTTGAATTGTCAATAATTTGGTTTCAATTCACCCAGTCCACAAAGGACTAATGTAAAATTTTCAATATTCTGTCAGCCGCTGTTAAAGTTACATTGCGTGTTTCTCTAGCGAAATAAAGCGGTTTATCCAAGCTTTGTATGAAAGCCGTTTTCTCAACAACAGAATTAATAGCAAATGAATTGAATAAAAGTGTTTATCATTTTCCCTGGTCGCTTCAAAACATAAATATTTTTTAGAATAGAGTGTACTACAAAGGGTTCTTTAACTTACATACCAATTCAAAGGAAATGTCCAAAAACATTTTGCAAAAATACAAAGTAATGATTTTGCTCGGTTAGCATGACACGTGAAAGCTGATACGGATGACGTATTTAAGTCTTAAGATCTTGTTTTTATCATGGAAATAATACTTTTAGATTCAGTTTATTTTGTAACGGACGCCTACAAGATGTCAAATGATAACTATGGATAAAATGACACCCATGAAAATATAGCCTCTTCGTATATATTCTGCTTTTTACATTATTGAATTGAAAATCTTATGAAGATATGATGTGGCCACCCATAATCAAACAGATGTCAAATCGGTTTAGCTGATGTTCTTTAACAAGATAGTAGCCAAAGAACTGCTTAGCAACATCCCTGTGTAACAAGCCCAGTGAAACCGTCCCCGGTGTAAAATATATCAAGACCGGGGAGTTCCCTTTCGAAAAGTCGAATGATTCTGATCTTTTTACAATCCATCACATCCCTTGCAAACTGAAATTTTTTGGCTCCCCAATCAGTCTTAAGTACGCTTTTTGGCACGGCATCCCAGCTTATACCAGGTCAACACAGATTTTACTGTACCGTGTTATATTTATCTGCTACCCCCCCCCCCCCTTCCCCTCCTAAACAAACATGCTAGCAAGGCTTGTCAAACAGGGATTTTTCAGCAGGAGGCGTTGAATTGAGTTGGGTAAAGTGTTCATCCTTTGCCTAATGAGCCAAACGAAACCTACAAAACCTTCCTTAAAAAAGCGATGAAAACAAGACATGACTTGGGTGTGGTGCATGAAATTACTATTTTCTGACGCCCTCCCTTACGATCTTTGCTCACGTGCCCACAATATTCCCGGTATCTGGCAGTGATATGATGTAGAAAGAGTAAAATTAGAATGCAAATAAGAATAATCATGCTAATGGAAACGACTTTTATCCATAGAAACTCCAGTTGAGATTGTTTAAAAGAACAGGGCAGTGTAATAGCATTTGTGTTTGCAACATGTGGTTGGTTAGCTGATTGTTGACGATATCAGTCTTGCTACTATCACAGAATAAAACTTTTATATTCTGTGCTCCTATGCGTGCCCTTGTACCGGGAAGGAGAGCTTAGCCGAGATCTTGTCTAATCCCTCACGAACGCAAAAATTTGTTTTCTGCTAGTATCACGCCTACTTCCATTTCTTTTTGCATTTCATTTAAATTATTCAGGGGTGGTTGCCCACCAGCGCGGGCTGATTCTGATCCAACTGAGAGGCTTCCCCAAAGCTTTTCTCGTCGAAAAGAACAAAAAATTACCATTTGCTGACTTTTAGTGGGAAGCCTCTCTGTTGCGGAAACTTCGAGAACAAAATTTTGAGTTTTAGGAGAATCGATTACATAAGTACATGCGTATTGTGGAAGGTTATGTTGAGGCTTGTAGGTTTAAATTTACTATTTACAAGCTCCTCGGTGGTTTTTTTCTCTCATCCGGTACCGTCTTTCATATATTTACACCTTTTGCAAGTCTGTAAATTGGTGTTTGTAAAATGACTCTATGACCTTGTGTTCAAGTCATTTGATCCATGATTTCTGGTCGTGATCAAATCAAAGATCACATTAACAAACTGTTACGCATAGCAACAATAGGTGGCCTGGGTCGAGCAAAGTTTAAAGCGGTTTCTTCAAAACCACTTTACAATGGCGTCGTAAACAAGAGTGGTTACAGCCGTAGAAGGACTAAAAGTTTTTGGTTGCGCTCACATTTTGCAAGAGGCGTCATGGAAGAATTCAGACTCAAAGTAATACAAAATTGCAAAGAATACGGGTTGGCGCCTTCACAAGTCCTCCTCAACGAGATAAGAGCAAATAAAAAGAATGATGAAGATTCTGGCCTAAACTTAGACTTCTCAGGCTGTAACCTCACCGTACAGGATTGTGCGGTGCTTGCGAGAAGCCTCGCAAATGATAGAAACATAACAGAGATACGTTTTTCAGATTGTCTTCTCACCGAAGAGGCATGTAAGCTTCTTTTGACAGCATTTACGTCAAACAGAGGGGTTCAGAAATTGGATTTTAAGGGAAATAACATTCGATCATCTGCAGGATTAATTGGTCGGATTCTGAAAGTGACAACTAAATTGACTCACCTAAATCTGGAATGGAACGGGATCGGCCTGTGGGAATCGACAGTCACAGCAATAGCAGAAGGCATCCAAATGAATCAAACTTTGCGGTATCTTGATCTTAGGAATAACCAGATTTCACATGAAGGAGGGACTTTCATAGCAAATGCTTTAAAGGCAAATCATATACTAAAAGTTCTTGACCTGAGATGGAATAACATTGGAATGCTTGGAGCGAAGTCTTTTTTGAGCATGTTGAAGCAGAATAAAGAAATTGTTAAGTTAGAAGTTTCAGGTACATTTTTTAAATGTATATTTTATCATAGGCTCATGTCCTATACCCTTAATCGTGTTCTTTGTGCTGCTATGATATGGTATAAAGTAGATTTGAACCATCAAACAAATAAATTAAAAATCATCCCCTGTCTCATATTTTCTTATTGGAACCAAGGTTATTTTATTATATAAGAAAAACATTAAAATGCATTTGACATGAATTCTACAAAGAATAAAATATACACAAGATGTTTGAATAAAACAATGAACCAAATAAGAAGACAAAAATTTTTTTGATTTTCACAAATCTTAAAGGTAGCCTACAGTATATCCGCAGTTTAACTTGAAAGCTAAATCAAGGGGCAGCTGAATGTGCCCAGGTACCCTCCAACTTAGGCCTCTGTGCACATGATATGAAGCCACAATCATGCTCTCAGAGACTGGCATAAAGAATCAACCCAATGCTGTATTCAGCCCAATGGCAAATAAAAAGATTCTACATTTGCCTAAATCTCAATGGTTTATTTGCACAGGCAATAACATTCCAAGTGAGATGCTGAAAGCAATAGAAACATCCTTACAAAGAAACACAGAGCTGCAGGCATCTTGTAAAGAACAGCAAGCTTTGGCTGCCTCCTATAAACAAAGATTAGAAAATGTGGAATCAGAAAAGAACACTCAGGTATATTCCATATGTCTTCAGAAAAGACACAATAAATTTTGCTAAAAGTAATTGATATGATTCTGTTTGAAGGCAAAATTTGGATGTCCATACTAATTGGCCACAACCTATTGTTGTCTTTTTTACTCCCATTACGATTTTTATTATTCAGTAAGATGCCTTAGCGTCAAAATAATCAGGGGGGGGGGGGAGAACCTCATGCTTGTGCTTACCTGAATTTCAATTGTGTGAAAAAGCTCTGAACTTAATTTTGTATTGGTTGATATTTCAAAGAATTCAAAGTTCAAAGTGTATCTATATTTGATTTTGCATATGATTTCTTGACATGCAGTTTTTTGGTTAGCATCAAAATTCATATCTATAATGTATACATACTATGGACTTTGGTATGGACATATTAACATCTCCAAGTAAAGCTCAGTTTACAATAATAGGAGAATACTTTCTTTTCTTTTTTGTAAACACATTTTGTGGGCTAAGGTTTTCTGTATCAGGCCAACTATTTAAAAGATGCATAATTAAAAGGGAAGCTGGAGTATAAGGTCATTACTGGATGCAAGTTCACCAAATGCTTCATCTTGATAAAGTAAATTGTTAACAGATTTTATTTTGCTATTGTTTTCATATGCTTGTTTGTCCTTTCAGTCCTGAAAAATGATTTTTCATATAGATTTCCAGTCTTGTTGACAAACTTGCAGTCGAAAAAGAGGCTTATAGAACGTCTGTTAAATCTGCACAAGAAAAAGTTGAACAACTTAAAAATGCACTTGAAGAAAGAAAATCTGCATTTGCTGCAGTACAAGAAAGGTTTTCTGCAGCAGAAGCTTCATTGCATGTTGCAGAACAGGCAAACAGAAGGCATGAGGAGTATATTGATGACCTTAAGCAAGACCACAAAAGGAGAGAGAAGGAGCTGGAATTTACAATCCAACAGCTCAAAGAACAGTTAAATAAGACAGAGAAGATACATGCTGATATGATGGGAGTGAAAATACAGACAATAACTGCATTGGAGAAAAATAAGAAAGAATTGGAGGACCAGATATCAAGAGCAGAAGAGGAAAATGAACAATTAAGAAAAGAAATGAAAGCACGTGATTTCAGAAACCAAAAACTATTCACTGAGGCTGAGAAAAGGTATACAGACGACATTGAAAGTCTACAAACTGAGCAAAGTATGCGCAAACAGGCTGATCTTCAAAAGCAACAAAAGCTGGAACAAGCAAATGTTCGTTTAGAGGAAGAGATTTCGTTGTTGAAATCAAAGGTATACTTAAGGATGTTAATTTATCATATGGCTTTACCAACTATAGGCATCTGACATATTTATTAAAAAGTCCAATGAAAATAAAATTAATCACTTTTAAACACTTTCATAAGAACTCTCATATCAAACCAAGCCATCTAATTTTCAGTTGCAGAGGTGAAACAGTCCGGGGTTAAAACATTTTGAAACAATTGTACAGCGATCAATTGAGAACAGTATCAGAAATGGTACTGGCCTCATTTTTTGACTACTCAAAATCTGTTTTGCAGCTGGAAGACTTGGTCAGTTATTATGATTTACATACTTATGGGTTTTATACTAACACTAATGCTGTTGCTCTTACAGTGCTTAATTATCATTTTCATTTTGTATTAGGTTCTCTCAGAACGAATAAAATTTGAAGAGGACATGATGAACTTGAGAATGACGATGAAGCAAGAGGAAATGAACCGCAGCAAGCAGTTTGAGGAGAGAATTGAGTTGTTGCAATCATCAAGAAATGAGGTCCAAATCAAAGTGACAAAGCAAAACGCTGAAATATCTGACTTGCAAAACAGAATTAATTTAGGGGAGGGGGAACGTGATTCTCTAAAGCGTCAGTGCGAGTACATGAAACAACAAATAAACAGTAAAGATGCAGAATTGAGAACTGAAGCTGATAAGGCAAGAACGGAAATTGAAAGCGTACAGAAAACAAACATGCAACTAAAAGCAAAGCTCGCAGAACTAGAAATGAGAATAAGCGAGCAGGAAAAAAAGACAAAAGATAGTTTGAACAACAAAGATGTTGAGATCTCATACTTGAAGAACCAACTTGCAGTTAAAGACGAAGAGATATTTCGAATTAGAAATGATGAAGTTAAACGCACTGAAATGCTTGAAAGTGCACTCCAGTCGTACTTGGCTAGCGCCAGAAAGGCACGCTAAATTCCAAGGTGTTTTTAACCTGCGTAGAAAAAAAATAAATTCAAATGGACGATGACTGCAGTAACGACTGCAATGTAGACAGGGGCTTTAAAAATCTTTTTTAATAATTTATGATAAATTTTATCGCTATGCTACTGGGCAGACGTGGAAACCCTTTTTTGAGTGGAAGAGCAACGGATATAGCATGTACTTTGTCCCCTAAGTCGCCTTCTTGGAATATAAAGTCAATAATTGTAAATACAGTTTGCTATAATTCAGGATTCGCTTGTCATTAATTCTGGTATCTGATTTACTAGATTTTTTGGCTGGAAGGCTGATGGTAGCAACGTCAATGAAGATTTCCGATTGAAGTCCATAAGAAGGTTAACATGCAATAACAAAAATTTACGCATACTCAGATGGAAAAAAAGTAAAAATTTTCTTACCAAAGCTGCTCTCTCTGCTACAAACTGGAAACGTTCTTTTCGGGTTCTGGACAGGAACTATGTTATGGGTGCAAATCTTGGATAGATTTAGGATGCAGGGAGGATGGGATCGCAGTTGTAAAGGGTAGTGGTTTTATCTGCATGGGTATAGTGACGGAGCTATTAGTGGACAGATAGACAGAGGAAAGGGTCGTTGGAAGCAGTTTGTGGGCGGAGACGTTCATTAAAATAAGCCACTTTCATAACAGCTTACGTTTGAGGGGTTCTTTTTAAATGAAATAGTCGAGAATGGGGGTAGAAAACTAATTTTTGCTGAGACCAGAAGCATAAAAATCAAAGCAAGAATAATTCTTGTAATCAAAACGACAACAAAATACAAATACAAATACATTACATTACATTACATTACATTACATTACATTACATTACATTACATTACATTACATTACATTACATTACAAACCCGTACTTGGAGTAGGTATCACGTTTTTCAGTTCATAGCAATGTCACATTTAGATTTACCAAGAATAGATGTTTGACATCTGATTGTCTTTGGGAAGCGGGAATTGCATCAAAAAGACGATTGAGGTATGAATTTAATTTTAATTTTCTGATTATAAGGTAAACACTTTTCCAAAGCACGCATTTTGATAAGAAGCTGTTTTCAAAGAGCTCTACTAAGGACCTAAAACTGAACAATTAAACTTATGAGCAAAGATTTAAAATCAAGAATACTTTATAAAATAAAATGATAGGTAGAGTTTTTATGTTTTATCAAATAGCCTACAATCTTCGACGTAACTGTTGAGACAAAGCCCTAAACATGTTTTGGGTAGTCCACAAGCATAGTCCATCATCTACCCCTTCTCTCCCCATTCAAAGTCGGTGCTTATGAAGAATCTAATATGGCAGAGATTAACATTGAACTGAAGTGTGGGGGGAGGGTCTCAATGTCATCTGTCCAGGAAGGTGAATCTTCAGTACAAGCTCATTTACAATCTTTTATTAGGCAAAGAAAATATTTAGAAATGTTAACCATTCATTTATCAAACTTTCACAAAACGTCCCTTTAGTGTCACTGGAAATCAGTTTATTATAAAGATGCGTGCATCAATTTGTCATTCATGCAAGTAAACCTTATGAAAAATAAGCTACAAATTACAATTGGAAAATTTACAATTTAATATTGTCATTTGTACTGGAAAAATCAATGAAGTGTACAGGTCAGGCAAACGCAAACTTCGACCAACAGGCGAATTTCAACCGTAGGACCCATTTGAACGATCAGGTACAATTCGACCGGATTAGACCAGTAGGCACATTTCAACCAGTAGGTATGTTTAAACGGACAGGTGCATTCTAACCGTTTGGCACACTTTCAGTAGTGGACAAATTTTGGACCACAAAAACAAAGTCTGTTTCTTGGGCCTAGTATCAATCGAAAGATGGTCGCTTTTAGCAATTTTGCAACTGAGTCCATGAAAGCACAACTAATCTTGAAGCAAAAGTAGAAAATTGGTGCTTAGGCCGGTTCACGCTGGACATAAAATATTTTTGAGCTCTACATCAACAAAACCACGGAACAATCTGCCAGAACAATCTTCCAAAACTTTTGGACACTTATCACATTGCCAGAAATACAATTCTGCGGAGACAAAATTACGTCTTAATGATCAACATTTTTCATGGCTTTGTTCCATCCAGGATGGTTCTGTCTTATCCGATTTGTACTCAACAGACATGTACAAAAATAAATTTTGAGCTCAACCGTTTTCAAACGAACATAATTGCGGTTGACTAGTTGAAGATTGTAGGTCAGTTAGCCGCAGGAGATTGAAGCTTGGAATCCATCAATTTAGCACCTAAAGGGGGACTATACGTGAAGGTAACGTATCTTCCTTACTATTACAAGCCTTCGACCCGTGTCTAGTGTCCAAAAATGATGGAAAAGGAACACTTTTTTCTGGAAAAGGAATATGTGCTACTTCCAAAGAAATAAGGAAGCGTTTGAAAATCCGAGCTATTTAACGAGATACCTCGGGTTCCAACAACTATGACAAGTGAGCTCAAAAGACAAGTTTTCAATATGCGTATTTACGTCTCGGATTCTCCAAGATTTCAGAAGTTTGCCTTTAACTATCAACAACTATATTTGGTGTCTATCAAAATATACATATATCAAACCTATATTAAACATATTACTATAGGAAAAGTCATTCTCCTTAATTACAAAATCTTCCCTGGACGAAGAATAAAACATATTAAGCAATCAAAATTAACGTACGAAATCACGTCTGCTGAAAAAATCGTGAAACTGAACTCGGGAACAAGAGGCACAAAACTCCGGTATTCACCTGCAACATGAAAAAAACAACAGCTCTCAAATAGATACAGTTTAAATTAATTGTTCAGAGGAAAATGACTTTGCAACCAAAAGCATCTTATAGCCTTTGATAGATCAATTTAATTAGAATAGAAGGTAGGGCGAACAACGATTTACTTAGGCTCGTTTGCGAGATTGATATCTCATAGCATACCTGTACGAATCTGGAAAATTATTATTGAAGTGCTCATAATAAGAACACGAAACAATAATACTACAATGTCTTTTAATTACACTCCAAAAGCCCATTCATGTTGGCAAAAATTTTCTACAATGATGAACTGGCATATTGAATGTTTCCTGGAAGCTTCTACTTTCCGGTTTATTGACAACAAAATATCTAAGGATCCTTGCTATTCAAGGAGCAATACTTTTCAACAAATAGGATTGTCCACAAGCAACAATGGAGTATACATGAGTGTCCACATTGATGATGTGGTCAAGTCCTTGTAATTAAGGCAGAATATTTTCACCATCCAATATAACACATGTAATTTCTGAATAGATTTTCAAGGCATGTTTCTTCGATTTCCTTGTCATATTTAAGCGATTATTTATGAATCCCGTTACTGTGGGCTATATCATAGAAATATCTGAGTAGATTCCAAATGAAGTGGCTTTCATATCACTGACAAGCGAGAGGAAGGTGATTGAGAACAGCAATCAAAAGAATATCCGTTGGGAAAAGGTTGAGTATTTTTCTAAATTCTGTTTTCAGAAAGAATCTTCAGATTGCATGAGGATTGCATTTTCGAAAATGATCGGTGGATGTAAAGGATCAAGCACAGGACAAGATACGAACGCGGGAAGACCATTTCAAGGACAACTTTTATAGTGTTGTGGATTTTGTGGATTAGCTGAATAGTTATTATGCATTGATTACACGGATCGGTCACACTCAGTCACTAAATCAATCGTTCGTGTAGGCCAGCAAGCACCATTTCATCTTTTGGCAATGATAAAACTTGTTTTTGGTAGTATTTATGATATGTCAAAATTAATCTTTCAGTAATTGGTGGCCAAACAAATGCCGACTTTGGACCAGTACCGTAAATCCTCGAATTGCCCCCCCCCCTCGAATAGGCCCCTACCCTAGAACTACAAATTGTCAATAAGCCCTCCCCCTCGAATAAGCCCCCACTGCTACCGTAAATTCATATTGGACCCCTCCATTTGATGATTTTTGCCATCGGAGGTTGCCTATGGCGTTTTATTGAATTACCACAACAAATTCATACTTTTTGTAGTAATAAATTCAATGCTCATAAAGAAATTTCTACTAAAATAAACGAGGTCTTTTAATAATGTCTTCTTAATGCCTTCAATAATTCTATAACCCCCCCCGTATAAGCCCCCCTCGAATAAACCCCCATCCAAAAATATAAAAAATAAATAAGCCCCCAGGGGACTAATTCGAGGATTTACGGTATGTTCATTTTGACCAATCAGATTGACTATACGATTCTCGTGGTAATTGTAATGCAATTAAATATGTACGTTGCGTTTGGTACTTCACCAGAATAGCGAAATCAAGACATGATAACGAGTAAATGCTCGAAACGTCGTGTTTTTAACAATCAAACTATTATATTTTCATTCTGGCACTAAACTTACTTGCTAACTATATTATCGTAATTGTAATGCACCTCAATATGAAATAATTCATGTGCCTGCATGTAATCAAAGACCTTCGACTTTTACAAGAGGTGATGCAACCTAATATCTTGGACAAGGTTGTTAAAAGAGAAATCCCTAAATATGTGCTGAGTTGCATGCATGTATAGTCTTACATCTATCCCGTGCCCCTTTTATAGTTAGAGAGTATCAATTTTCATATCAGAGGTGTCAATATTGAACTGAGGATTGTCCGGGATATCAAGAACAGTCCGGACCTGTCCAGAAAAATCCGGAATAGTCCGAATAGTAGTCCGGGATTCAAAACGTTTAAGAAAGGCATTCTTCAGCTCAGTGCAATTGGAATGACAGGCAGATATAACACTAGTTGAACATAACACTTACCAAATGTCATTTTACTGGGTCAGCTTAACTGGCAACTGATGCATTCTCTTCTTTCTAAAATCGACAACAAATATTTCACAAAAGCGAACTCTTTCCTCAAGAATAATTTAAAATAGTCCATGAAATAATTTGGAGACGCAAAACAATAGAAATTTAAACAATATAGAAAAACAACAATTCTTATTGGAACAAATTTCATTTAATGCCTAATCCTCTTTTACATAACCCTGTTTTGCTTAGCTTTGTGAAAAGAACGTGTCTCTCTCTTTGGTGCCACTCTTTTAAGTAATGTACGGAAAATATATAGGCTTCATTACTTTTCACGAGAGTAGTACAATATAAAAAAAGTTATGACATGGGAAATCTTTACACCTATTTCCATGAAACAAAGGAAATTTCAGTTCAACTTTCTGATAAAAAGCGAATAACCTGGTTACCTCTTTTAATCTTTCTAACATATTCCTTATTCCCTTCCTGTTAAACCTTACTTCCTCACATTTTACTCATTTCCCTATATTCTCAAAAATTTCGATTACACCTCTCTCATAAACAAAGCTAGACGCAACAAAAAGACCGCAAAACAACTTGTTAGCAGGCCCTCATTTTTAGCGCCTCTTTTAGTGTGCAAAAATTGTATTAATGTCCCAGGTACTTTACTTCGTTATTTCTTTCTTCTTCCTTATTCCTTTTTTCGCTAAACCCTATTTCCTAATGTGTTCAATTATCTTCCCTATATTCCCATGAGACAAAATTTCACACTTCTGATAAACAACGGTAAACTCAAAAAAACCCCGCATTTTTATCCATGCAATTAACTAACAAACTGCATCAAAATCAAACAAATTGAGAAAATATCGCTGTTCTAACCAAAGAAATCTTTGACATAACTTACATAAACATTCAAGGGTAGGTACCCTCCATATAGAAATGGCAAGACTTTCCCACAGAAAGAGCGAGAACCTTATTCTCTATGAAATCCGACAAATCTAATACACACAAAAAATACTGGGAAAACCAATTGTATTAGGGCATCTTTGTGGGATCAACAATAGGTCACGCAAATAACCAGCCTTTTAACAGTAACCATGTACAAACCTTTTGTGATTCCACATACTGTCTTCAATACCGCTGTAGTTATAGCACTGGAGGTAAGGATATGCATCGAAGGATATCTGAGATGATTGTGCCAAATATGAGACCTTTGCTGTTGTCCTAAAATATACAACGGTAATACTAGTTTCAAACTTTGGCATTACAAAGGTTTGAATGGCAAAGTGTTTTTCTTCCAAGAAAAGTACTTCTTCGATTATCAGAACGTCTAAATGAGAAAATGGTACAGATTCTGCAAATGTAAAGGAAGTGTAGATAATAGCACAAACTGGCTTACGAATAGCTTTAACCAAAGAAATAAAAAGGAGTTACAAGGCACGAGCAACATCAGGCATTTTTAAAACTCTCCGTCATGAAAATTTTAATTGTTGTGACATAGAAGACCTTCAATAGCCTACTATTGTCGAAGTTGCTGTACGAATTTGGTATTCTTCAATACAATAACTTTTGTTTCATTTGTTCGCACTGAAGAGACCCCAGCGATTAATCCAAAATCAAGTTCATGTCATTTATCAAGAAAATCAGGCCCTGGAAAATCAGGCATAAGGGTCCTAAACAGACTTTTACAGTGAAAGTTGTGAATTGGGCGTCATCATTTAAATTTTATACCAATGGAAACTTTCAAGGAATAGTTTAAATAACATGCAACTGCTACTGCTACAATCTCGTCTGTATTATTCCAAGTATTATACAAATCATACTTACAAAAAGTGAGCCAAAATATGATTATACCAGCCATCTCCACACATATCTCTAAAAAAGATAAAAGGATTTTCAAACTTACTTTTGGAGTGCATGCGAATTGGCCCTGTTGATGTTTATTTGTTACTGATTTGAGCTTGAATTAACCCTTAAAACCCATTAAACACATTCACCTTCATAATTTGGAAATAGAAGATGTCTTAGTAATAGAAGATGGCACAGGAAATTGGCTCATTCTTTTAAGTCGTCAATGGTCTTGCCTTGATTCATCGAGATTGATCAACTCAAAGACCAGTCAAAAAACAAATCTTTGGTAGTCGTGATTCTTCGGATGTGTTCACATTAACTCAACTGCGTGTAGAGAATAACTTCAATTTCTGCATCCCGTCCAGTTGACTGTAACATATTGAACAATGTAGATCTGCTTATACTCGTTCTCTATAGAAATGATGGCCTTTGTACTACATCAAATGAGAACATTTTTTGGCAACAGTCAGTTATCTTAGTGCTACAAACAGATTCATTAAAGCTGCCCCCTTTTTCCCTCTTTCATCTTTTGCTTTTCTATTGCTTTCGCTTTTGTTTTGTTGGTCAGAGTTTATCTTTGCTCGTTTTATTGTTGGCTGCAAGAGAGGTGTGTTTGTCTAATTCCTTGTAGTCTTTTTTTGTTTCATTGATATAAAAATTTTTGGAGATAAATATTTTCTGCGTTGGCCACCCATGTTAGACTTAACTGGACCATATTAGATGTTGTTGGATGATGTTGGAACCGTCTGGCCACCTTTCCAAGAATCACATTTGCGCAAGCGCAGTAAAAAACACCTACCACATTTTGATTTGAATGGATTAACAGAAGCCTAGAGACCATAAGTCAACTGGAAAGTCGTCTCTGTGTTTTCAATTTCCCTTTCACCTTGCATCTTTATCCATCTTCTTTGCAGTCATCAATAAAACTGTCATCAATAAATCTGTCAATTTTTTTTCCCTAAATGTGCTTTTCGTTATCAACTTCACAGGAATTTATAAAATACCATGAAGATTAATCCCGGATACAATTCAAGGTAATACAATAAGTGATCAGTCTATATGATGACCACATTTTCTCCACATGCTGGAATTGAACAAAGAGCAAACCGGCCTCACCTTATCTGAAATCCAGCTGTTCCAGGTTTGTTGCCTTGGAAATATATTTTGACATTCAAGTTTCTCTACAAAGAAAGGCCAATCAGCTGAAATGTCAAAGATATAGCACAACAAAAATACAGTAATATGATCTAGTATAAGATCAATATCATGGATTTTTGAGGTATGACATTTTTTGGTGAAGCATACAACAAATAGAACACCTGGTTAGGCCAACAAGTGTTACTCTAATAGGTAGTGTCATTCAAACATAAAAAAACAAGCAAAAAGTGAATTTGCTAAATTAAAATACCTCAATAGAATCTCTGGATGGAACTGTAAATGACATATTCTGATTACATAGGCCATGATTCAGTAGTATTTTGTTCCAAAAGACTTGCAAATGAATTTCAGTTATTTTCACAGTCAAATAATTCTGATTTTGAATCTTCAGATTGGTCTAAAAAAAGAACGAATTAGCTTTATTAAGCTACAGGCAAACTAAACTACTTCCAAAAAAGTTATTAATAGTATGATGAAAATAATTCAATATATAGTTATACTTTCAAAAGCTGAATTTGAAAATGACATAGGAAGAAAAGGCTTAGAGGGGGGCACTTTGAATGTTCATTTATCATAAACAGGGTGTTGCATGCCAGTCTTGAAGTTGTGGCTGGCCAGGATGGGGGGAAAGCCCCAAAATAATTCTTGGTTGTGTCCTTCAGGCCCTCAGATAATGAGTGACAAGCCTCTTTAGCTCTCTATACATTTCAAAACTTTTTGGAAATGTAACTTTCTCAAACAGCATTTCCAGAATGAAAATCAAAACCAGTGAAGTACAAAATTCATATATCCATAAAGAAAGAAAAAACGTATACAATTTAAAATGGAAATTGAAGGCAACTCTCAAAATTTTTTCACAAAGGAATACAGCTTGAAATGAAATAATTTATCACAAAAGATCAATTGTTTAAACAATCTGTCATGCTACCATGAAATCTAAGAAAACTGGTGTATTGCAATTTTCACTTGATGACTCTTGAATGTCTAAAGTAATTGAAATTGAAACTACATAATAAAAATACCTGGCTATTGATCATATCACATAAAAATCCCACCCATTCTCCTTTTCGGCAACCAAAGCTCCCCAACCAATTTTCCAACTGAATTAAGAAACCAATCCTCCCCCAACAACCCCTCCCCCAACAACCCCCCCCAACAGCACCATCCCCAACAGCACCCCCAAACTATTTCAACAGATTTTGAGAAATTAGAAAATCACCCACTTGGACCAATCCACCCCATTCCACCCTAAGGTGATGCCACTGGTCATAAAGACATTTTTTGCAAAAAGGCATGATTACAGAAAGAACATCTTCTAGTTCTTCTTTCTCTTGAACCAAGTCTAAAAATCAGACAACATCCCAAAATTTTCCAAATGTTTAGAAATTCTGATTTAATAAAAAGATCTCAAGATACCTCAACAATAATGTAAGCAGAAAGATTTTTGCTTGATGGAATCCGTATTTCCAATGATTTGATATTGTTTACAGAGATTTCAACCGATCTTGGGGTAAGGACAAATGCAAGTGGAGCAGCAATGCAGGTACAGATTAAAAACATGAGCAGCAATTTCCAAAATCTACAACACAAGATAAAGAAATATTTAAGCAAGTTGAGATGATGAAACTAGCTTTGATAGACTTAATATCAGTTTCTGTGATCAAACTTTGTATATTTGTTGATTTGTTCTTTTTGAAAGTCTAAGAGTACTAATCATTGCTAACTGCATGTACTATTTTTTCAACTGTAGTTGAGCATTACCATCAAGGACTATGGAGAGCCTGTATTTGTTGTTGTTGCAACAATAGCATACTAAAAACTGCCCTCCTCTAGGTGAAAGAAGGAGGAAACAGCAGATGCCCTCAAGAGAGTTCCCTTTTTCAACTCTAGTTGAGCATTACCGTCAAGGACTATGAAGAGCCTATATTCTCCTTTGTTGCAACAATAGCATACTAAAAATTGACCTCCTCTAGGTGAAAGAAGGAGGTACTTGCACAGGTGCTCAAGTAAAGATTTGAGGTAACCATTGCTTTGTGGTGGAGTAATCTGCTTGACCTACAAAGCTGCCTGGCATGTTAAACAACATTACATGAAATTTCTCTTTGAGGCGCGAAATATGCATTGAACTATCAACATAAAACCTGTCAATAAAAAATTGTAAAACAAACAAATGTAATATAAATTTTCCTGAGTAACAAACTCTGAAATAATTTGATAAAGAAAATCAAAAACAAATACTTACATTCTGGAAGGACGTAGTCTTTCATCCTTGACAGGAATAAAAGCAACTAGTTCATTGACATCATCTAAAATTAGAAATTTGTAATAAGTTCAAAGAAAAAATATTATAGTGTTTGCCATCTTTTTAAAAATGATTTCATCACAAACACCAATCCCATTGCTCACAGCCAGGGCTATAGAAAAGGTGGGCTGCACCCCCTCCTCCTTTTCTGGCTAATTCTAAAATATTATGGCTAATTTCTGCCAGGATCAAATCTTTGATTGAACCGATATTACTTTTTGACATTCGCATTGATGTTCAACCTCAATAGCCCTCTTGATAACTGAAAACTCAATAAATGTTTGCAAAATTCTATTACACTTTAAATTCTTTATTTTTAAGATTTTTCTACTCAAGTAACAGGTAGACATTGGAAAATGATTTAACCCCAGAAAAAATGGAAAGGTAGAGAAATTGATATTGGGGAGCTATGCAATGGAAAACAGCTAAAATGTTCATTTTATCTACAGTATAGAGGAAGCTCTTTGCCCCCTCTCCCCTCTACATTTTTGGCTCTACACTACTGCTCACAGCATAGTTTTGGCAGTTTGAAAAATACCGAAATTCAAAAATTTTTAAATATTTTTCCAGAGAGCTAATTTTCTAATGCAGTGCTTCTTTATTTGCTGGCTTGCTTGCCAGCTAACCAAAGCTAGCATCTCAGGCAACTAACACCTCAACTAGCACCTCATTAAGATTTCTCTCCAAATTATCGCATTGCTTTTCAGTTTTGATTTGCTTTCCTGAGTAAAAGATGTTCTAGTGTGCCTTATAAAATGGATAACATAAAAAAGGAAACAAAATTCTATGTTCGACTTAAAGCTATGAGTTTTTATGAAGCAATATGTGAAGCTGAACATAACAATACTGCTGACATTCATAAAAGCTTATCAAATGATGGCAACTTACATATCTAGAAAAATCTGGACAATTTGGAGACTTTGTTTTATTATAATGCTATATTTATATCAACATAGTGTTTGTTGCATGTTTTTTTGCATATTATGGTCCTTTATGGTATTACCGATGAATATCATATCTAACACTCTTCCAAAGCTCTCGATATGGAGTTCTTGATCTTCCAAAGCTCTCGAAGGATCTCTCAAGGAAATTTTATCAAGAGGTGCGAAACAGAGCACCTAGAGTTTCTAAGGGGCTCTTTTTATGGAGCACCTTCATTTTGCTTAGAGCAAGGGCTGTTCAAATGCTCATATAATCTAGAAGAACATAAAAGCAAATTATTTAATAAGATCATTTAAAACAGCATTGCATTTTTAGGAATTAAGAGATTTAGCAGAACTTTGAAAGCAAATCTTGGGGAAGGAAGGCCAGACCTCTCTAAAAATTTTTTGGACCTGCAAGCACAAACTGTTTTGCAAATGGTGCCTGCAAGATTTTTTTCACATGTAATGCGTAGGAAATAAATAGTTTAAAATAAGAGACAAAAAGTAAGGTTTAATTATGCAAAAACTAGCAAATTTTTAAATAACAGAAAATTACTTTAGAGTGATGTTGGTTTTATCAACAAAAATAGCATTATAGAGTTTAAACAGGGATCTTGTCCTTAATCTTATTCGAGCAACGAACGAAATTGCTTGATATTGTTTGATACTATAATTAAGGATACCTTCAGCTTTTTAATATTCTAACCATTAAGAGCAATTACAATTTCCATCTCTTGCACCCTCCACCCAGATTGGTAGTTTGTCCTAATTTTTTTAAACGGAAGCCTATAATCAATGACCGATTCAGCCCACAGTTTGCTGCAGCAATGCAACAGAATAAAGAATCATATCAAAATCTTTGGACATTTTGTTTTTGCAGTTAGGATTATCTACTATTTCCTTTTTATCACTTTCACAAAGCGGTAAAGCTTAATATTAACATGGTGAAACTTGTAGCTGAATTATTTCTCTTGATTCTTAAACAATTGAAAACTTTGAAAAAGACCGCTTCTTCGGATATGCCTGCAGACGTAATTTGATCAGCATGGTTTGCCTGAGAGCACCGCTCGTGCACTTAAACGAGGCCTGAGGAAGGCCAATTGCTGTATCAAAACCATTTTGGAATCGAACCCTCATACTAATTGTAAAGAAGGCCTAGACAGCATATCAAACTTAGGGGCAGCAGCTGCCTGTCTGCAAATTGGAAATCCCAACTGCAAATTACTTTTCTATTCAGGCAAGGTTAATACTAAGCTCCCCTTTTGCGTCTGGCATCGGCTATGCCAACGCTAGCACCTCAGATATAGGATATTTATATTCAATTTTAGCATATCAATTCATCAGATGCTCTCTCTGCACTACCATGTCTGCAATTTGAGGGTGCCACCCCCATGCTCTGCATACTGCATACTGCTTTTTTGCTGTTTGGTCATGCAATCTGTATTGTTATAAAAGATTCCTACAGATGATAAACAATTAAATATAACCAATACTGCCTGAGGTATAGCCCTATTAACTCATTCAATTTTCCACTTAGCAAAATTTGAGGTATTCTGTGTAGTTCAACTCCTTCTAGTTCAACTAAAGTGCCATTTGAATTTTACCCTTCCTGTCCATAATTGTTCGAAACAAAACTGAAATTGGAGAAATGGAATTTAAACCTGAATGCCAGTCTGCAAGAAGCTAGGCCTTGGCAGTTCTTGATGCAATGCAATATTTCAACACCTTCAGCATAATTGCGAAACATTAGAATAAGGGGTATTTATCGATTAGGCATTACCTTGATGAACCCTCCCTGTACCTCTACAAGTAGGGCAAACAACTGGAAAATGCTCATAAGTAAACGACTCCGTGTCCGTGTCTCGACTCTCTGTCCGACTAGGGATATTTACAGGGCCCTCATCCGCGAAATTAACAGACACCCTGCCCTTCCGACTTTCAAGTTCCTCTTCGGTTGAGCCAGCTTTTTCGTTGTCATCTGTCGCATATCCAGCAAAATCGTCCATACCTCGCAACATTTGCTCGTTTAAAATGGTGGGGATGAATTTGTCTGAAAATTAACTGGGCTCCTCGTTTTCGGTAGCAGGTTTGTATGCCACTGTATACCGAATAATTCGTACCCACAACAACAAACTTTAATCCTGCAAGATGTGCTGTATGCTAATGTCAGCGTGGTTTATAACATCATCTTGTAATTTATTATAGGCCATATCATCCAAGAACTGAGTGACTTTGACTTTCTTATTACGATTTGCAAAATTATGTAATTGACAGGTCGTATTCGACACGAGGTTATGTACAAGTTATTCTTGTTCTGTGATTGACCTTTGACCAAATCAGACAAATCAGACACCTTTTAGGCGGGTTAGCAGGGACTGTACCCCCCTCCCACTTTTTTGCAATAATAGGTTGGAAATATTTTTGGAAAGTCCCTAACACAACTTTGGATAGCTTTCTTTACTCTAACGGATCCCAATTAACAGCAGTGCTTCTTGACTGGGAACTCTTTTTGTTCATTTTCTAGGTTTTTGAAAGAGGACTCAAAAATTTTTGGTCACGCCCTTTTAAGCCCTCCCCCCCCCCCCACTTCTAGATTTGTGTGCAGTGCCTGGGTCTAGTCATATTTTTCAATAGACCTAGGGTCTAGTCATATTTCAATAAACATTACCCTCCCAAAAAGTTAAAAAATTTTCGAAAATAATTTGGTGTCAATATACTATCAATATAAATAATCTTGGCTACAAAAAGATACCATTGCAAAAATATAAGCACAAGCAATAACAGAAACTAGCTTGCGTCACAGACCAAATCGAACATCGGCTTTCGAGTCATTTCGTTCGATTCGGTTTGAGTTGGTCTGTGACGTTGGCGTTGACCTCATCTCTCGTCTGACATTGGCGTTGACCTCATCGTTTCATCTCCGTGGGATTGAAACAGTTAAAATTTTCTTGAAAAAAATGCATAAATTAACCAAGTTTTAATATGAAACTAAGAAACTAAGGAGCACAAAAATGTCGTCAAAGAAGGAACCGTTGTTTAGCGATATAAAGTAGTAGACTATCTTAAGACAAATGTTACTCCTGCTTGCCATAAATGCAAGAGCACATAAAACAAATCTTCGCAGCTTTATTATGCTTCCTCCTCATCTCCTGGGATTTTCAACTTTTTGAAATGAATGTCGCGGCATTCCAACAATTTTTTGCAAGAACCGTAGCTCGTTTGTTGACTTGCAAGAGGTTTGACGAAATTGAGTGTCAGACGGCCTAATTTCATACATACAAAGATAATAACGTTGTATGTCAAATTGTTTATATACCTGATGGAAAGAATATCATATTTGATAAGAGAACACAGTTGTTGTAATTACTAAAAGCCATAGTACACGCTTTTTATATAAGGAACTTACCTCAAGGCCTAGTTCCAAAAGTTCCTTATTCGTAGACCTCAAATCATCAAATTGTAGTACCAAAAGTTCCTTAATAGTTCCTTAATTTGTTTTGATTAAAGAAGCCCTTACACTTAATAGAGAAAGGGGCGAGACAGCATATGCTGAAACTACTCAAAGAAGCACTTGACACACGAATAGCAAACAATCTATGCGAGTATTGGCTGCAAATAAATTGAACCAGCTTTTTTAGTTCTTGATGCTTGCATTTATATGAAAAATTTTCAAATCGAAAAGTTCCTTAGGGATTTCGTTTTTAGTAGTTAAGTTCTTCAAATATTTCAGCCTTCTACATGTAGGTTCCTTATAAGTGGTTCCTTATAACAAAAAAAGCGTGTATTGGTTTGGACCCAGTCCTCTTTCACAGTCGTCAGCCACAGCGTTGACAACATCTTCTTTGTTTCGGTACACAATGCACATGCCCACGCCAGTTTATGAGTTAATTAGTTCATCGCTCGCGAAGCTATGTTCACGCAAATTGTAAGTAGATTTATTGGTATATTATAAAAAGGAAAACGTCAATCATGCCATCTCTGGCTCAGAATCTTGTCTCTACAACAACAGTTTTTTCTTTTATCTGTCTATCTGAATAAAGCTATAACCAACATTCCAACAAGAGGTAATACATGCCAGGGAGTTAACTGATTGGATATGGCAAAACGCATTTAATCAAGTGTTCTCGATTGCAATTATGACACCCAGCGAGTTGTGAGGCTCATATCTAGTTTCGCTATGCCCTTACAAGTAAAACATACAACACAATTAATTGAATTTCTTCAAAGCATTTAGGTATTTCCGAACTGCTTCTTCGGTTTTTAAAATCTCCCCCTCTTGCTCGAACTGAATCAAATTGAAACTTCCACGGCAGCGGTTGTCATATATACAACGAGTTGCCAGCTTTGTTCTTAGCAACTCTAGAAAACTTTTGAAATTGATACTGTCCTTCTGTTCTGCAAGCAGTGCGTCCAAAATATCTTGTCTTGTAAGAATCTTTACCTTGAATTTAGCAGCAAACAACATGACCAATGTTCGGATCCTTTTTTTCTTCCTATCTGGGTCTTCTATATCGTCACGAAACACCAAACTCCAACACATGTCAGGAGGGTCTCCGGCACTTGCATGGTTGCATTCAGCAGCCAAGTACCTGGGAATCTGCCTGCTATGGTACAAAAACCAACCTTTGCTAAAACTTTTAACGTCAACAACTGCTACGAAGTGTACAAAGAAATTTCCGTGTATTGAACTGACTTGTACTTTGCTAGAAGAACAAAGTGTTAAGTTTTCGATTGGTTCAAAGTCCTGGTATTCAATGCTGTTGGTAAAAGCATCCAAAGCTCGACCAAGCTGCATGCTCAAAATATTACGAACTTGTGATGACCTCAAATACCTGTCTTCTGGTATACAATTCCAGAGCGTTGGAAGCATTTCACCTCCAATTTGTATGCAGACATTGCATGGAGAATATTTACTTACACAAAAAGAAAGATTTTCTTCTAGTTCAAAAACCAAATATGCTTTAAACTGGCTAAGCGTTTCCACTCTGATGAAAATATTCGATTGTTTCGCTTCCTTCGCTCGTGTACTTGTTTCAGCAACCAAGAACGAAGCAAGTTGTGACGCGACAGCTTTTACAAGGTCTTCTCTTTTAGCAAGAAGATTCTTCGCTTCTTCAAATTCATACTCTGTAATTATTTCCATTATGTTTTTATCAATGATGTTGAATCCTTCTAAATCTTCTGCAGAAAGACGCTTTTTCGTTGAATTTTCTTCAGGAAGTAAGAAGGACCTGTTCATTTACGATGCAATGTCAGGAATTGAGCAACCCGCAGAAACTGAATCGCTTTTGCTAATGATGTGTACTTGTTGAATCGGTTGTTGGAATTTAAGGGAAAATTTAAGGAAAATGTTTTAAACTATAGGAAAACTCGAAGGAAATTGATGGAACAATTTAAAAAAAATATGAAAGAAAACGTGGGTGAAAATTGAAGAAAATATCAAAAGAAAAATCGAGGAACAAGCTTACTAGTTCCACTTTCTCTGAATTTAACAGCTTCGATTTTGTCCCTTGAGTGGACAATATTTGAATTCACTGATTTTGAGCCAAACTACAAAATCATTTTTGGGGTATCAGAGCCACGGTGGCAATGAACTTGAAGAGCCCAAGGAAAGCCAGTGGCAGGAAAAAAAATTAATCTCTCACTTCCCTTCGTCAGATTATTTTTTTAAAAACGTCTTTAAAATTAGAATGAAGATTTGAAGAAGAATGACGATGTTTCTTGACTCTGGGCCCTGCACTGATGTATATATATTTCATTTTGCCAAGACACAACATGTAGCTGGCGATGACAGACGTTATGTGCATTGCCATAGCTTTTCTTCTTATTGTAATAAAGATCGTTTGTAACAGAAAATAAGAAATTGCCTTTTTTAACGTAATTTTAATCTTACAAGTCCAGTAGTTTCTTCATCAAGGTCCTACAGTGGTGTGTATTGTTCACTTATTGTGGTTTTGGTGTTTGTCTTGAAAACCACAACCAGTGTTGTAGAAGTATTCCATATTATTTCACATAGTAATTTCAGCCAGGATGTTTTAAACGATAGTAACCTCAAAAACTGCAATCATTTTGGTTGGATTCTTTTACTTTTATTTTCACAACTTTGCAGGAAGTGCTTTTGAGCGCATTTCATCTTAATCAAGCATATTTCAAGAAACTTCCATGTGTCCAGAAACGTTAGTTGAGAAAAAATTTCCCAGCCAAGCTCTTGTGTAAAGTCTTGAAATAAGATAAGGCCATTAAAAACATGATAATTATATATCATGCTTCACTTGAAAAATAATATTGAGCAGATTTAATACCTGACCACACAAGTGTTTAAGCAAATTTTCAAGCTTACTGAAAGAATATTCAAAGAATTTGAATAAAGACATAAGAATTAAAGAATTAAAGTCTTCTTGTGAAGAAAAAGTTGACTATTAATGACCAGAATGATTGACAGCTACCTCCAAAGGATGAGTAAGAGAAAATAGGGAGGAAACGTGTATGTTTTTGTGTAAAGATATTATGATTATGTACAGAGATAAATAAGAACTACCTAACGGTAGACAAAGAGATTTGCAATCTCCATTTTAGCCATCTCTATCAAGCAAGCAAATTTTTCTGATGCACGATATTTCCGCTCAACGATTCGAAACTTGGTGCCCTGAGTCAGGTGACAGCCTTCGCACCAGGATCAATTCACGTATTCTAAAATCAACCAACATGTTTTAAACGTTGCCTCAGCGAAATTAAACATAGCTTTTCCGGCCTACTCTTTTCGCATCAATAAAGCTATTTTGCTTCTACTTATCTAAAGCAGTGGTATTTTTATTTCCGCATTGCTATATATATCATCACAATCCATTTTCCTCTACCGTTAAACGTGTTTTTTCCTGACTCCCGCCTACTCCATTTTTCTTTATTCCTTTTCATGCACATTAAGCTGATTTCTGCTGCATGCATACGTGATAATTAACTAGAATGTCGAGCAACGAAGTGTAAGGAGAGGGAAAAATAGTATGCACCTTGCCTGTATGTATCAAAAGTAATGTGAAAGATATTTAATGAACCAGTATCATAAGAAAACGAAAAAACGATATGACGCAACAACTACATTACTTCAAAATATATCCAGCGATCAGTTCTACAAAAAAGCCTGTACAAAAAAGAATGCAAGGAAAGGTGAAATCAAAACCACGATATTAATCCAATTATCACAGTGCCCCAAGATCCATTGCGAAGGAGACTAACGCCTCAGCTGGGTCCGTTGCGCATTTTGGATGTAACGGAAGGGAGGTATCTTAATTCATACTTTACTCTTTGAAAATGCCAACAGTGCTACGGATGCAACTTCGCTCAACTGACATTCAATGATCATTGTTTCTCATTGAAAATCTCTTTTGCCAACTTTTGTTGACATGCCGTGTTAACATTTAGCGCTCACGTAGCGAAAACAATCTTCTCACGCCCATGCTGTCGTTAATTCCAACGTCCTTACTGTACAATTTTCAATCAAGCTCATTTCCATGAAGTTCAAACTATTCTCCTGGGCGAGAAAAACATAAACATGGCAGGTAAAGACAGTGCCGTTTTGCGCTTTTCTCCAAAAGAGTTGCAAACTTCGGACGGAGTTTACTAAAATGACCACTGTGAATTATAAGTAAAAATTGTAAAAAGCACTGTCGCCAGACAGCCAGAAGCAAAATTGATGCCAGCATCAGGCACGTTCAGACTGGCACGTGCTTTTTGAACATATTATTTCAATTTCATGAGTTTAGTTTCTTCATATCATGGCCAGTGGAACTTCAAATTTTTTGAGGGCCTCTTATAAGTAGGCAAAAAAGATGCATATCCAAATACGTCATAGCGAATCGCGGCCCTAAAAGTAGCATCTACTGAAACTGATGGGCTGGTAACTTCTTAACTCCAGCTAAGTCCGTGCGTTGATTTAGCGGAGATTCGGTGAACTGTAGCAAACTGTATGCTCAAAATTGACTGGAAATGACATTTTTTGTGCGAATGACTGGAAACATTGTAGAAGATGGTACCTGATGATGGTTATTCAGCTCCATCAAAGCCGATTCACATTGTTGTTTTTCGAGTCTCGAGACCATTGGTAAACAAAAAAATTTTTATCAGTTTAGTAGCGTGGTCTCCCAAAATATTCCTTGTTTAAGAAAGAAAGATATTCAAAACAACATGGACTAAACGTAGCTCACACCCAGGATGCATTCTTTCACATTGGCGGATCGGGTATCATCCCTGCTTAAACGCTATAGCGCTAAACCCAGAAAGCCATAGACACCTGGAAACTGATGCTGAGGCTTTAGAGAGTGCAAAAGTTGTTTTCCTCGTATTTCCGAGCTCACACCATCTTTGCGGTAATCTAAGCGCTTTCTTGCCCTCAGCATGAAATCGAGGATGCATTCATATTAATTGATCCTGTGCATACCTGTTTCGAAACGCAACAGTGAGAGGTCAATAAGAAACTAGATACGTGTTGCATGAAGTTATTTCAACACAGCACTTGCAGAAGATCACCATCAATTCTCCAATGCTTGTAGTTTTATCACGATGAAAGGCATTGCAATTTCATCCTATCTAATGTTCGTATTAATTTGTTTGCTGATAGTGACAGAAAGCTTGGGGTTTATGAAGGGACCTTGCAGGAAGAAAAGATGGAGCAAATGTCATCCGATGAAATTCAGTATTGTCAAAAGGGCTGACGTGCCGATGCCAGGTAAAATTGGAATTATTTGAAATACTCAGACGACAGAAAGATGGTAGAAAAAAATAAATCTTATATTAAAATTAATAAAGCAAATGCATCTAATGATTTTGTCATTAGAAAAATTAAAATAGAATCGAAATATGCAAAATGAAAACTTTGGCTGATCAACGTCAAACCATAACTCAGTAAAATTTTTCTTTGGGAGGGAGGGGTTGATAATGCGTCGAAGTCATTGAAATATTGAGCGGAACCTATCCAATCCATTTCTATTGCGCAATATGCTTTATAGAATGTTCTATTAAACTATTGCATATCACTTAGGCACGTCATGCTCGAGACAGTATAACGACTTTTCACTGTTCCAACAATATAATTTTGCTGTAGTTTTCATCTCTAGAAACGGACCAAATCATAGAAAACTGTACCCTTGGTTCCAGGGCCTCAGTGAATGGTGGTCGAACTTTAACCGACCCACTCTTTCACTGAGGCTCTGGAGCCCATGGTAAGGAAATCGCATTGAAAGTTTCCAGCTTAAACTGTCTGCCCCACTTCCTTCGAGCTGCTTCCTTCGAACATTATCGCATGCATAACAAAATGAAGTCACCAACATAGGATTCTCAAGAATAGGGAGAATAAGTTCGGGAGAAGAATTTTAAGAATAAAGTAATGACGTTTGGTCCTTTCAACATTGAAATAGTCATTCTTTTAAAGCAGCATTGAGTGGGGCAGTTGTCCTATTTTGCAGGGGCACTCTCCCTCCCACTTAGTTCCACCTAAGTTAATCATGTATCCTATTTACAGGTTATATTTTGTCACTCTGTTGTTACTACAACCCTTCAGTGCTGTCGGGACGAAATTCATATTGGGGGGAGGGGCTGTCAATGGTATTGCTTCCCAGTCAGTACACTGTTATAAAGGAAAATGGTATAGTTTGACAATAATCGGGAGGTTCCAGCCCCAGCCTCCCGCTTCCGATGGCTCTGCCCTTGGTGCCTTTAGGACAATATTTTACCCCATACGTAGATTTACCTCGAGATTTTCAAAGATTAATTAGATGCACACTCAGTGATTACATAGATCAACTCCACTCTATTAGGGCCTATTTTCACGAGATGGGCTAGCCCATTGCATTGGGACGGTTTTCACGGGTATGATCGCTTTCGCAAGCGTTTACATGAGAACGTAATCCATCCCACATAGATGGATTGACCTGTTATTTGAAACTTGTAAAAAAGAACGGTTTTTAAATTTGTCTCCGCAATAATTACAAAAAGCTTTCTCAGCAATGACAAGAAATTACAATTTAGATGCCAATTTAGCAAACTGGTATGGTGAAACTCTAAATCCGTCTTCTCGTCGTAAATTTTCCATTATGATTGCTGTTGCACTTCACACGAACAGCAATTTGTCTCTGATGGCTACATATCAAGACAACTCGATGGAAAGTTTCGTGGCATTTCAGAGGAGATAAAAGAACTGCTCCTCAGAATAAGAATGTGACCTCACCTAGGTTTACTGGCCCACCTCATGGAAACAAACCATTATCAAAAGAAAACATGATCTGTTATGAATACGACAAAGCATTTTCCTACTCATTAGTTATGTTACCAGTAGGGAGTAGGGAAAGACAAATTCAAGGTACTACACAATCATGTTTACAAAAGGTACTGTATAGATATCTCTTATTTTTGGAAAGTTTACATGCTGCTTTTTTGTGGATGGTAAACTTGAATGGATATTGCCACACACATCGAAAAATAGTTGATGGCAATCATATTGAAGAAGTGCGCCGTTATGCTACGCGTGCGCAGCAGCCAATGTAGTGGGCATTATTTATTGTCGTCCAGATTTAACCGTGAAGAAAACAATTTGCTTTGGTTATTGCGCTCAGGGGCAGACCTCAAACCACAGCAGTTTGTCCAAATAATGATGTTCCTAATGATAACAATGCACAACATAATATGAATTTGAGTCTCTGCTTTCCTAGCAATTCGGTCAGATATCTACTTGGTATCTCCTACCAAATTGGAGCTATCATGCAATACTAATTCTTAGTTTTTCTATCATAGTAGGGAAACTTACTAGCAATGTCATTGAACATTTGTTACACTTCGCTTGACCATGCTCAATGAATTACTGGCTAAAATATACCAAAATTTTGCCAAACTGTGAGAAAAGCGAAGTATCCATAACGTGAAAGGAAATAAATGAGATGGCTTTATTGATAAACTCATTTATGGTAACTTGGAGAGGAAATTCGAAGGCAACTCTTGTGCCAGATGTCAAGAGTCATTTGCTATTAGAATAATCCAGAATTTTAAAATGCTTTTTAGCCCCTGGTTGTTCACTGGAGGGTAAGGAGGGTATCTCCAATTTCAAGTCGGGAATCGTTCTAAAAGTCTTTCCGTTGACTGAAGCTGGCTGTCTTTTTTTATTGTCTTTACGAACGACACACGTAATACAAGATCTGTAAGTCGCGTGTAGTGCCTTGTAATCCAGAGGTTTGCATGAAATACTGAGCTCTCTTTCGTGAAAACACTGATTAGCAGAAAAGTTGGCCAGCAGTTAGAATAAATGAAAAGGAGTATTTTCATTTGCTTCCCGTTACTTCATTGTTGCGAAGACTTTTTATTTAAAAATGATCACTATATTGTGATTGAATCCTTCTTAAAAAATTCCCGGGTTTGAAAATTCCTTCGTTGTGGAAGAAGTTTTTTCCTTTCTGGAAAATACGTTGAGATTTACTTTCAAGTTGCATCAAGTTGATACTGCAGAAGAAAATTTACCCTAAGCAAATTTCACTGACAAATAATATCGTTTTTAACAACTTCCCTTATATCAAAGCAACAATATTATAAGTGCCAAGACAACATAGTGGTCACATGGTCGGAATGGAAAATAAGAAATCATAGTAACACGCCCAAAATCTTGCTTTCATTGCTTTTTCTAAGAAAGGTTCTTAGAACTTGAGGTTATTGTCCAGGTGAAGGGTAAACATTTTCCTGGACACTTATTGTAGACTCATCGAAATCTTCATCGAAAATTGTCTAAAATCAGCAACTTTATTATGAGAAATAAATAGCTTGAGAGACTAACTCTTGCATCTTAAATAAGCTACTCAAGGGGGAGTTCACTCTTTCTGATAGGGTGCCAATTTTTCACAAAAAAAGAATTTCAGGGATTTTCAGATAAAACAATAGGATTTCCACCACAGGTATACGAGATTTGCATAAAGTGATTTCCCTTCGAAGCTGTTAATGTTTGCTTAATACAGACAAGTATGTTCATTCATTTAAAAGTCCTACTAGTAAAGCATCCTGACGTTATATTCATTTGTAAAGGTTAATGCAGCTATTATTCTTTACTATACATTAGAAGCAGCGAGACTTCCTTCATCAAAAAACTAGATTTCGATATCCACAGAGGCAATGAATAGCTGAGTTGGATGTTATAGATGAGATTTTGGTTAACTTTGTTGTTGATTGTCATCTATAATTCCAATCGTTTCTATTTGCTATTTTACAGCAGCACTAGGAAACGAAATAACGGAACGTGATTGGAGGGAGCTTGTGAAGACGAGAACTGGCAGCGTAACAAGAAGAGCATTGTTGAAAGTATTGAAAGATTTAAAGGCTGATATCGTGGCCGAAATCGACATAGACAAAAACGAGTGAAGCTGACAAAAGATTCTGATGATGTTTAGAAGCTGGCTGGCAGAGAAAGAACTTCGTAATATTGAAAGAACATCGATGATAAAACACAACTCTATTCTAGAAGACTTTGATTATTAAGGTTTTTAATTGATTTAAGGGCTTTCTGCAAGAGTGGGGTCCTCCACAGAGAGCGAGAAAAATCTTTTGATTGCAAAATTCTGTTACTTAGAAAATATAGAAGTGAGAGTATTGACGGTTCACAATTTTGATCATGATAATAAATTTGACAAGGGATGGGACAAACATTTTACTTTGTTACTCATTACTAATACTCGCCTTGCCCAAATACCAGTTACAAGAGGATCTCATGCTTGCAGAGCTATCTGAAAAATAAATAATTTGGTAACTCGCATAATATATCTCACTTTAAAAAAAGTAGCTGTTCTTTACCTTGAATGATATTTAAAAGTCAGTAGAATTATAAAGGGAATACAAAAAAGCACCGACGAGCAATAGTCAGAGGAAAACAGGAGGCTCGTGGAATGATCTAGTATTGACTTTCAGATCACCTACAGCTAATAGCAAGGCAGGAAGATTATCTTTGGTGCTATTACATTGTTTCTTATGAGTCAGACTTTTTCTTGTGTATTTTGAAGCATTACTTATGTACGACGATTGTATTTTATACAAGATATACCACAGCAGAGCTTTTTATGTAAGCTTTGAGCTGGTTTCGAAGCAAGCATCTGGTACTTATTACGAACAATAATCCATGGTGTTTTTTCTTTTTTGTCTACTAATTTGCAACTTGCATTTGTGTTAGTATTCAAAGACAGTCCGAGAGCAAGTAGCTCCAAGAAGTTAATTGATTAATGAAGAGCTAGCTGAGATAATATGTTGATAATACGGATGGATGTTAGCTGAGAAACTTTCAGTTAACAATTTTAGATCTGCCTGCAAATTCAATCATGCAGTAAGAAAGCCAACATGTTAATTATTCTATACATAAACAGCGAAAAACCCAAAAATATTGCAACATGCAAAATACTTGGGTGGGTATATTAATTAACGAAAACTTGAATTAAAACTTTAACATAGGTTAAGTTGATTTTAAATACATCAAAAGGCATTGGAATTCTCTATAAATTAGAAAAAATTAACCACTTTGAAAATCTCAACAAATTTACAAAAAATATTTATCCAGTCACATGAATAATCCAGTTCAGTTAAGGTTTGAATACAATTCATTTAGCGATCTATTTATGTAAATATAATTTGGGTTAACTGACTTATCGTTGTAAATAAGAAACAACGAAAGTCAGGTGGTAATGCCTACCTCCTTGTCTTTTTTATCTCATTTTACCCGTTTGAATTTTAAATTTTTGGTTACACATTGGTTTTTCAGTTGTTACCTTGTAACATACATGCGACACAAGACAAAAAGTTTTTCATTCCACCCTTCTCTATACAATGTAACAAAAGCTTTATTTCGTTATATGCTGTAAATATTCGAACAATCACCCGTTGGAGAAAAAAACAATAAGTAATTTTAGTTGGCATGACATAGCGGAAACATCGCATACTGAAGTATACGTACTGTACTATACTTTTCGAAAAATACGTACATACTTCATCGTGCGATGTTTCCGCTATTTCGTAGCATCTTCAAATTATGCGATACCAAAGACTTGTTTGACAATAAGTATTAAACCAGCCTTCAGCAGAAACTGCTAAAACGAAAACTTAAAATGTTCTGGTAGTATGCAAACTTAAATGATAAAATATTATGAGTAGATGTTCATTAAACTCATATACATGTACCCTCAGTGTACTCCTGCATTTCGGAATTTTTCCCATACTCCTATCATCATTTTGCAAAATTCCAAATCTAATGACTTATCATAAGCTTTGATTTTAATTTAATTTTCCCTTTAGGTACAGCCATATTATCAAAATAAAATCATCGTTACACTTTCCGTTTAATTATTCATCTATTTCTTGTGAATACAAACTCATTCTTCATGGTCAAATTTCTTCACATGGGCACACGAATTTGATATCATCATTTGGCTTCTTTTCATTTGCCCATCGGTATTAGATTTTAGCCTGGTCCTGTTTATTGGTAGGTATGAATATTAATTTAAATCAATTGCTCAATCCAATTAATTATATTATTATTAAGCGGTTTGGGCTTTGAGATAATCATAAACTGCAAGTTTGTTTTTGTTTTTCGATTTCTGGAGTTGACGTCAAAACCTCGATTGGATGTGATGGTAGCAACTGTTGTTAGGCAACCTGCCTAGGGAAGCTGGATAATCTTCATGATGGCTGGCCTAATAGCAAGGAAAAACCAAGCAAAACTCGCCGAGCAGATTTACAAGGGTACCCATTGTAAGTGAATTTATATCACGCAACAAAGCGTATTAAAAGACGTTTACAGTTCAGAAAGCCGTGATTATTGTGATAAATTGTTCATCAAACTTCATTGTTCAAAAAGTCGACGATACCATTTTAAGTTTATTTTTACTGTAAAAGCCCAAAGATAGTTCCCTTGAAATTGGTAATATAATCACATTTAAAAAATGTTTATCTTGTACTGATTCTTTTCAAAAGATAAAATAAGTGTAAACACTACAAGACACCCAAACCAATGACGATATAAAACTTCCTTGCAATATTCAAGACATTTGCCAGAATTTAATGATGCCATAAACACTTCTAGAAAACAAAAAATAAAAGGGGACAATTAAGCAAACAGAGCAAGTATATAAGAATATTTGTAACCTTCCTGTTCTACAGTCTTAAGCGTTTTGAATTGTTGATTAGTCATAGTGATTTCCAATATGTCAATAACAACACATCCAATTTACTAACTTCAAAACAGTGCGAAGTTTTAAGATAAGTATGTTGCTTTTATGGCACATAATTCTTTTCACAGTCTCCAGAAATGAGGTTGAAAGACTACTTGACATGTTTAGGAACCTAGTTCCTCAACAAAAGTGTAAAATGGACAGGACCAAATTCAGAACAGTTCTCCATAATACATTCCAGATGACAGATGACATACTAATGGACAGAGGTAAAAACAGCATATCCAACATAAAGTTCAAAAGTCAATTTTAAGAGTGTATAAGACACCTCATGCTTTATATTTAGGAACATGTAAATTATTGCAAGTTTTAGATTGCACATAATCTCTCTTGATAATCTGACATATATGTATGATTTTGTTGGCAATATTAAACATTATTGAGCCTTTTTATGGTTTCTAAATGTAATTGAAACCATACTTTTATTTTGCTCTGTAGTATTGATGTTTTTGTATGTTTAGTAGAATTAATATGCTTTACATCTAGTTTTTAAGGCATTTGATACAGATAATGACAGTGCCATCAGCATGAAGGAATGGATACTTGGACTTTCAATATTTCTACGAGGCTCCTTAACAGAGAGAATGAAATGTAACTAGCTCCATCAGCTTCTATATTTTTAAGTATAATATTTTTAACAGACATTTACAACTTTTTCAGCAGAATATGTGCCCCTTTTGTTTGAGGGCCTTTAGATATTGAACAAAGATGCCCCAAACTGCGCTACACCACTTACTCAACCATATCTAAGAAATTTTTGCAATGTTGAAAAAACCAGTTTCAGAGGCTTGTGCAAAATTATCTAGCTCTAATTCACTGATACCATTGGCATAATAGCATTCATTAAATATTACATAACTTGAATTATGAGCAGTTGAAGTTCTATTGATTTTACCAATTAGGTACAAATTTTATCAAAGAACACACAATTTTGTTAACAGGCAGTGTTTTCTTCATGTATCTTTCAGAGATACTTGATAGAACCTGATTTATATAAGGGTATTAAGAGGTCAAAGCACAATAATTATTCTAAGCGTATTCAAGGATTTTTTTGTTTCATTTATATATACAGATTGCTTTGAAGTCTATGACTTAAATGGCGATGGATACATTCAGAGGGAAGAAATGTTTCACATGCTCAAAAATTGTCTAATTAAGGTAATAGTTTTAACAGGTACATTAACACACATCTTTGATATTGTTTTATAATTATAATTAAATCAATGCTTTAGAAAAGTTTGCAACATGTATTAATATTTTAACAACCAAAAGGCATACACATGAAAAAAGATCACTGAAAGTTGTGCAGAAAGCTCAAAATATTGCTGAGCTACATTCCCAGTAAAAAACAAAACAGTGACTTTTGTCGAAAAAGTAAGTCCAGTGTCTTATGTTCATACTACATGCACTAGTAGCATTCACCCCCTTCACCTTTAAGATGGGTAATGCTGGATTAGATGGTTACAAGTGTTGATGCTCAAAGATGTAACCACTCCAATTACAGCATTATTTGGGAGAAGAAGAAAAATGAAATGTAGCAAAGCTGATTTTTTTAGTGCCTCAATATTTTTGGCTAGAATCATTGTTCTAATTCAACAGTTTCTAAACCAAATGGATATAATCAAAGCCCATTTTCATGTTTTTTCTACTTTATTTACTAGCAACCAACAGAAGAGGATCCAGATGAAGGTGTTAGGGATTTGGTGGAAACTACATTAAAACTGATGGTAAAAACATTTGTACTACTAAAAAAGGAAATAAAAGATATTTGGCACAAAACCTTAAATGTTCTCTGGAAATTTTTCCAGCCTTTAGCAACCACTAAGAATCAGAGCTAATACCAACCAGTGATTCATAGGGGGAATTGGTAAAAATTGCCAGATCACAATTTAAGACTTTGGCAGTGACCCTACCTTAATAGCTGCTTCTAATTTTCATTCACCAATGGACAGTCAAATTTTTCTCAAATCTATTGCTAAGTAAGTGACTAGCAGCACAATGACTAGTGACTAACAGCACAATGAATGTTGTCAGTATAGTTTATCAAAAGTACGAAAGGGTATTTTGGCTTTTTAAAATTTCCATTCACTGCTAATTGTTCTCGCAAACTTGCGTCTGCCAACTGTATTTTCTGTTCTAAGTCAGGAAGTAAAAAGAAACAGCTCAAAACTAAATATTTTTGTATAGCTACAAAACAATGTACCTATTTCCTCACTATTTTAAATTTAAGTGCATCCTGTATTCACTATAGATAACTGTCATTGGCACATGAAAAATTATAAAAAATCCCTACATACTATTACCCCTCATGCAATGATACATCTCATCATAGACGCTCTGTTCTTTCAAGCCGTTGGTTTGCAGCCTTAAAACTTTTATGCCTCTGTGGTTTTAGGACTTGGATAAAGATGGAAGGCTTTCTTTTGAAGATTATAGAAAATCTGTGGAACAGGATAATCTCTTATTGGAAGCATTTGGTCAGTGTTTGCCTGATGCCAAGGTATATTTTTGAAGTAATTTTGTTAAAATGCATGAAATAACATGGTTGGGAGAATAACAAATGTCCCTTGCAAGGTAACAGTTATGGTTATTCATGCAAGGTGCCCATTTTATTGAAAATCTGAAGTTAAGTATTTGGAAGGATTTCTTTCAAGAAAATGTGTAGCAGGAAAAACTATAGGATTTTGATTGACATCCAACTGTATTTGTATTCTAGAAGCTTAACCTAAAATCATTTTTTTCTGTATTCTATTGTTCAGAATTTACTCTTATTCTATTTTAGTATGTTCAGAACTTCAGTGAATTGTTTGCTGATTGATTGGTGGACCATCAAGGCATAATGGAGAAATAACAAGAACTGTTATGGGTTTTTAAAGCTCTACTTTATCTCTTAAATGGATTATGCTGACCCATGGTTGATAACTAATTGATTGCTTGGAGTTGTTAGTATCCCTTTGTTGAACTAAAATGTATCATTGGCAAACCACTGTATATTGCCAAACATCCCACTGTCTCTTTCCCATTTCACAGGATTAACTCCACATCATGTTTTGGTGTAAATAAATTATTCTTTGAAATTATTATCATTTTGTAATTAATGTATGTTATTTTCATGAAATATGGATCCTAGAAAATTTGTCATCAACTCTGAAGCCTTTCAATCTTTTAAAAAACGTTATATTTAATTGGTGAAATATTTTTAATCAAGATAAGGTTGTGTCACTTGCAGCATTTTTGTTGAAAATTTTTCAGCAACAATGTTTAATCAACATTTACAGTTGTGCAACAAAGAAGAATTCTTGTTCATGTTCAGACATATGACAAAACAACCAAAATTTGCAGGAAAAGGGTAATTTATGTAACTCAAAGACAGTTTTTGTAATCTGTTTCACCTGCTCTGTATCAACAAGAAATTGTAATGTTTTAACCAGAGACTTAATTTCTCCTATTCTATGTTGTCTTTAAACTTGCTTCAGGCAGATAGTACACATCTGCAATAGTTGCTAAACTCCACTGAAAGATGGTGGGGGCTTCATTTAATTCATGTATCAGGTGGTAGGACAGGAAGGTCTATAATTAATTTGGTTTGTGATCTAGATTATCTTAACAGTGTTAATTAAAAGCATGTCTTCAAAACAAAAATATTTTAATATGTAAGCAAAAATTTGGTAACATAAAACAAACAAAAAATGTCATTGGTTTCATTCAGAATTAGAGGAAAGGATGGTTTTTAAGTGTCATGCAGTGCATCTCATCATGACATTCTAACAAAGAAAGATAAAAAACTTCAAGATATGGCAAACTGCTTTATGCTATATGACTGAGTTAGTAGACTGCTTGAATTAGTGCAATACTACTGACATAAGATATCCTTTCTATTGAAATACACAGCAAAATCAGATTTAAATTTATCAATCTTAAATAAAAACACTTAGCATTATCACAGCTAGGTAAAATTTTTATTGAAGAAACAAGTTTAAGATCCAAGCATCTAAGAGGAATTATTATTCTTATCCTCTTTAATCATTTGTTCCAGTTCTTCTATTGTCAGCACTCTCCGTGGTTCCTTTGGTCTTTTTCTTAAATATATTCTAAGGGGCAGCTTAAAATTGGCCTGTCTCCATGCTTCCTTTGCAAACATATCATCTTCACAATTAAATTCAAATAACCATCTACCAGCCTTCACTTTTGCTGCATGATAGGCAGTTTTGCCCTTTCCTTTACCCATACGAATTCCCTCAGGCTTTTTGGTAATAGGAGTATCAGCAGTAATCTGAATAATATCTTTAGTTTTGGCAGCTCTGACTATCGCAAGACGAGTTGCTTCTAGGGCACCTTCTTTCACGTAACCAGATGTTAAGGCATAAATTCCATAATCCATTGTGTCTCTAAACTTTAGTTCAACAGTTCCTTCTCTTATGTGCATTATATGGGACCGGCTGGGCTATAACAAGATATTGATTTAATCACCAACCTATATTAGAAATTTTGTTACCTCTGGGGTTAGACAATAACCTGTTACTTTCAATCAGTTACTCAATATGCCAAGCACCATTTCTTATAGGTGACTTAGAATATGGATTTGTTAAAACATCTTGAGAAGAGGATGTAAAGTTATAACCTCCACTGTTTCAAATCTCACATGCATGTTGATCCAGGGAGGATGTTATCTAAATTATCTGAGCAAGGGAGAAAATTGGTTGCCAATGGCTATACTCCTTGAACAGAACTGGATTCCCAACACTGTTTCAAACATTATTGATGAATGATTTTTCTAAAAACAAAACTAAATACCTGTATATTTGTAGAGGTCTTGATGCATTTAGAATAATTAATTAGCTTTTCAAGGCACCTGCTCCGCAAAAGAGCCATCTACAATGAAAGAAGAAATTGGTAAACAAATTTTTCATTTCTTTTTCTGATACAGCAATGGCATGTGCTTGTACCAAAGTAAACACAGGCACCAACGACACTAACAAATGCACTTACAGTTGAGTCTTTCTAGTTGGAACTATTATGTGTGAGATAAATCTTAATTAGACAAATGGGTTGTTCGCAATTATACTTTGGCTACTACCAGATGTAACTAGGGGTATTCCGGATATCCAGTAGGCCAAATAATCTGGTGCCAGATCCCTGATTTTTTGAAACTCCGGTTCAGGCCAGATTTTGGAAAAAAATCGCCAGTTGCCGGATTTTCCAGAATTTTTATTGGAACAAAGAAAATTTCTAGAGAAGAAAAAATCAAACAAACAACAAGAATTAAAAGCAATAGAACAAACTTGAACGTAATTCTTAAAGTTGAAAGTGCCCCTAACAGCAATTTTTCAAAAGTTAAAGTCACCCAAGGTTAGGATACAAGAAAAGAAACTTTTTGCCATCCCTTAGAAGAAGTTTTGATTGCGCGTCTTCAAAGATTTTTCCAGCCTCCAAAAAAACCTGCTCTATATAAACACTAGATTTTGGAGAAGACAAATATTGTTGAGCTAGTTTGATAATGTGGGGGAAGGTAGTTTTGTGCTACAGTAGAATCCTGATAAAATGAACTCTGAAGGGAATCAGAATTTGTTTGTTATATTGGGAGTTTGTTAAAGCGGATGATACATATCAACCAGTGCTTGAAATGTATCATTGGCATGTTTTGCCAATTACTAAAATGATTTTCCCTCAAGAGAAAGTGATAAATGAACACTGAAAACAAATAAACAAAAATAACAGATGAAGAATTCATGAAAAGTTAATTATATCAAGGGTGATTATGATGAAGGGACCTTAAAAAATTGGTTCATAACAACAAGAGTTCGTTATATCCGGGATTGGTTATACCGAGAGAATTTGTAAGGAAATTGTTAGGCAGAATCCAATGGAACAAACATTTAGTTTGTTATACCAGGAAGTTCATTGTACTTCCACCAAAGGAAAGAACTTTCTTTGCGTGGTATGCATGATAAGTTGATATACTAAGGAGCACCAAATCTTAATCCAGGCCACCCTAGATCCACTTTACATGATGAAAAGCCAATTTGCCGTTTAAATCACACAGAGTTTAACCCATGTTAACTTAGCCTGTATTAACCCGGTTAAGAAGTGTCATGTAGATTGGGCTTTAGAGGGTCATGTTTACCAATGGATAGTATCAACACAGATAGTAAAAAGTGGGATGTCTTTTCAGAAAACACATTGAAAATTAGTCGACTAAAAAGTAGGCCATAAAATCTAATTTCAAACAAAATTTAAGCCGTGGCAAATTTTTAGAAAGTTCAGTATTTGCTTTGATGATTAAACAAGCGCCTTGAAACAGATTTGAATTGAAAGTGCTTGTCATCAGGAAACAGCAAGACTGGGTGGTATATTCATAAAAATGTTCTCTTCGTTCTTCTCACTATACATTTCCTTGCAAGAATCTCAAAACTTTTTTATTATAGAAAAATCTGGTAATGGCCGGATATTCCAGGCGGATTCTACGAAAAGATCTGGTAAATCAGGTTCCAGCCGGATTCTGAAAATACTGATCCGGTATACCCCTAGATGTAACTTCAAACTCAAATTTTCTCAAAAAGCAATGACTGAACCCTGCTTTCAAGGTCCTGATATGCAGGGCAACCAAGAGCAAGGCCAAGGGACAGGCCAAGTGTTTGGGCCCCTGCCTACCTAAAGCAATACACCTAAAACGTGTTTAATATGGATTACAATGCATATAATTTTCTTTATTTACATTTAATTTATATTTGTGAATCATTTTTAATCCTTCTCAGTACAGATATCATTTGTAATTATAATGTTACTAAGACCCTAAATAGAGACAGTTTAATTACCAGCAGGGCCCATACTGAGTATGGGTCCAGGGGCAATGTCCTCCTTGCCCCCTCTCTGTCGGCTTGCATATTTTAACACAATAATATAAGATATATTCCATTCTCTTAAAGCTCAAAGTTGAATCACTATATAATAGTTGTACCTTTTTCTCTTTCAAATTGTTTGGAGATGAATGTTATGAACAGAAACAGAAATTATATGCAGAGCTTTCGCATTTTTGCATGTTTGTGAAAGGAAACAACTAATAGAGGCTCTTTATTATTTCCTTTGTGACTTCTACAGCTAGGATACTGCAGCTCATAGGGAGCAGTTAATAGAAGTGGGCCAATTTGCCACCAAAAAACCTACCTTACTGATGTAAATTATGAGCTAAAACATGATTTTTCCTGGCATTATATATCACTGGTATAATCACATTAGGGGGATTGACCAGAGCACTGAATGACACATTTTCAAATTTTGTCATATATTTTAGGTGTTAGTGTCTGATAAATGTTAGCTCTGTTAGGGCCCATGCCATGAATTTGAAAGTGGGGAGGGGGCAAGGCTAAAAATTTGGAGGGCAGAGGCTCCTTACCTCTTTGACTGCAGCTTTTAAATTTCTTGCTTTACAAAGGTGGGGGGAAATGGCCACCCTGCACCCCCCTCAGTGGTGTGGGCCCTGTCGGTGCAAAATAGTAACGGTTTACCCATAAGTTGCTCATAAAGAAGTGCCTTTCTATTTTTATCATTCTCTTTAGAATTTTATTTCCTTGAAGTTTATAAAAAATTGGTGCGTGGTATGATCTATTATGGGTTTGACGTATGACATGAACAAACTTTCTCTCAGAGTGAGGAGAGTCGCCAGCTCTTTGTTAATCCCAGTTGTAGGAATCACGAGGTATGGTCATACACTAATGAGAAAAAGGACAAGGACCCTACTCGATAAGCATAGTTTTTCACTGTCCTAAAACTAACTTTGGAAAATACAAATATACAAAATAAAAAAACAGTCTTCTGTGTTTTATGTTTGTATGTTGCTAAAAACATGACTGGAATGGGTGTGCACGTGCATGTACGAGACATATTAGAAAAAAATTAAATTGGTCACCGCGTTGCTTAAACGAATACTTTTCTCCAAACGGTTATCAGCAAGCAAGATTTTTATGGAACTTCATCTTGGTCTAATTTTCCATTTCCAGTGAAATGGTGTTGGGCTGATGGCTGGCTGGGGGTTAGGCACTTTTCATTAATAAATTTTTCCATTTACAGTTACGCAAAATAGGTTTTTAGAATACAAACCTTTATCGAAACTTCACTGCGAAGGAACTTTAAACTGTTTAACAGAAACTTCTCGACATCCTACCGCCTACAACACCAGAGTGAACATACCGCCATGAATATGGAACAAAATGTGGCGCAATTTCTTCTTATCCTCGTATTGATGAACCCCACATATAACGGAGGCAGTAGTCTCCCGCGCTTTTTCAAAATAAATGATAAATTTAAATACCAACCAACTTTATAAGGAAATATTCTAAGTTATTTATTACCCGCACAATCCGTCAACCCAATATATCTATAAAGTATAGTCTATATTTTCAAAATATACTGGGCATTTTGAGAGACCATTTTGAGAGACATTTGATAACGTTAAACCAAAGTAAATAAAAAGGTCCCAAGACCATTCTATTTTGTAAAAACATAATTTAAAGAATTTTCCTTAGGTATAGGCCTACCCCTTACTTTGCTGTCTAATAAATAAGATAATTTGTTATTAATATCTTTCATAACAGCACGTAAAGGCTACAATAAAGTCAGTCAACCTTGCAAACTAAGTTAACGAGCAGGCACGCCGGAGCCAGGGAGAGGATGGGTGTGCTGTTGCTTGATGTCAACAACAAATTAACCATTCCAATAAAGCAAAGACTTTCACAACTAAATCAAATTATTTATATTGTGCAGTATCTACTTCTTACAGCTTAGTGAAACACCATGGAAATATATGTTGTTGTTTCTTAAAGACTGAACACTTCAAGAACATTTGGTCAATCAATCAAAATTAATTTTGGGGCGGGATTTTGGTTCCTTTGGTTCGAATTATATAAAGACAACTTGGATTATTATTAAAAGGATAAATTTTGGGTGAAAATGAGATCAAAGCATTTTGGAAAAAAGGTGAAATATTATTACTATCAAATTAAAGACTTTGGCAATTAAATTACATGATGACTGAATAGACTCTCAAGAACTTTAAGGTCTAAAATAACAGAAAATAAACAGCTAAAAACAATATAATCACAATTTTTTGAAAGCAGAATCACATTCTTTACATAAGTATGAGTTAAAGATAACCAAGAGGTGAAATCCCTTTACAAATCAGAAAGGAATAGGGATAAAAGGTAGAATAGAATAATCTAAAGATGTCTGCAAAAGTGCATCACAAAATGCATCATAAAGGCAGTCAGAACACAGCCCATACTCCAACAAAATACATTTTCATTATGAGTGAAAACAACTTATTGATTACAAAGGGAGGCTTGAACTATGCTTTCAAAATGTTATTAGTAGTTCTGTTTGTGCAAAAGACCCTGGTCTTATAATTTTTGCTATTCCAAAAAGGACAAGAAAGTTGTCTTAATTTTTTGAAAACTTCAAAGCAATCTTCAGGAAGATAGCACTAAAAGCCAAAGTCCTTTTCATAGATTTGAAATATTGTTTTTAGGTTATAATGTAATTGCCAATTTCCTATCATTTTTTCTTCCAGTTCTACAGAATATACAAAACTGAATGTTCCATGAATTCTGATTTCTAAATCAGCTGTTACTGACTTCTATAACTTCTTAGCTAATAAAGAATAAACTGGTCTATCTTAAAAGCATGATAATATCTCAAAATATTATCTAAAACATATTAATAGTCTTCCATTCAAACTCGTTACTAGAAAATCTTAATGAAGCAAGACCATCATTACTCAATGTAGATGATCTTCTAAGGTACTTCAAGCACTGTTCACTTATTCCAATCTTTGGAGTACTGTCATCTTCTGTGATTTCCTGCTCACTTTCCTGCTTTATGTTAAATGCACCAGTATGGGTATGAGTAGACACTGAAGCTTCATAAGAAGTGTTTGAATCTTTTGCCAACTGCAATATGTTATAAAGTTGAGATGGGAGAAGTGCCCCAGATATTTCCAGTCCATAAACCTGTTTAAAAAAATACACGATAAAATAAAGGTACACCACATAGAAAAATGGATGACTTCAAAATTAACCAATAAAATATGTCTCAATATAAATAGACCAAATAGTGATGGCAACATAAAAGCCTAGGGAGAAAAAGGACCTCTGGAAAAATATTTTTTCAAGTTGAATTTTCTAAACTGTTTCTGATGTTTTGCATTAAACTGCATAATTTCTATTGATCTCAGAAAGATTTTGAAATGCTTGGAAATTGTATTGCATTTGTTCCTATAAACTTCATGAAAATCAAACTATAGAGTAAACTATAATAATAGAAAGGCAGCTCTCTTAACAATTTATGCTATCAAACTATCGCAATTTTGCAAAGTGCTGGCATTTATCAGACTTCAGCATATAAATTTCTGCCCAAATTTCAACATATACATCATTCAGATGAGTTCTTCTACTTGCTATCAAAACTCACATAAAATTGGAGGTTAGATATTGTAACCTTTGCTCTAGTAAGTTAAAGCAAATTCAAAGTTCATTTTCTATGAAATAAACTTGGTTAATAGAACAGTGTAAATATTGGAAACTGCAAATTATACCTGCTTCATACCATCCTTCCCGTTGATTTTCATTGGCCCTTGGATACATTTGAGACTTTTGAGCGTTGCACCTTCAAAGGCAACAGGTGAAAGAAGAGTTGGTGGAACACCTTGCCAATTACCAGACTGTGCCACAATGATATCCGAATTCACAAAAAAGTTAAACAAAGCATTGAGGTGGCAATTTTTAACTACCACTGCTGATTGTGGCCTGTTGTCTATCGAACTAAGTTTTGACAATTCTTCAACAATACTTTGTTGCTCAATTGAAGAAAAATTCTTTTTATTCAATCCTAAGCTGGAAAGAAAGTCATCATCATGATCATCATGTTCATAATCTTCCTCAAAATCATCCTGGGTAGCCACTTTTTCCTCTTCAGTGCTCGAATCTTTGTTGATATGAGGCATTGTGAATTCTATCCCTACAGAAAAAGTTAAAGGTTTAGAAATGTACAGATAGATTTAATCAATATATATGAAAACAAACAACTTGCTGGTTACATGGACCAATAAACAAGCTTAGAATGAAGGTCTGAGTTGAAAGGCCAATTCTATAAACAACCTTCAGTTCCCTGAAATTCAAGCATCACAAGCTGTGGTGATAAATGAGTTAAAGAGAATATTAGTACATTTTCTTTGGATTATTATCACATCCTTTCTGGCAAACAGGAAATGCTTGGGAATCACCTCTTTTGAGGTCATTCACTTAAACCTTGCTTGATTCTTTGCCATGAGTGTCACTTAAAAGAACAAAGCTCCAAATCAAGTTAATTTTGATTGAGCAATCTAAAATTTACAATTCTGTATTTTTGTTAAAGTTGGGTATGCTTGTAAACGGTTGGTACTTGTATCAAACTTAAATGCAATTAAAAACTATGACTGAATTTTGCCTTAAATCGTTCGTGGGGTATCAAAATAAGTTTTGGATGCGTTGAAAAAAAGGAAAGTAACATTGTATTCCAAAATATTGTGAAAAGAAAGGCATATTTGAATGAAAACCTGTTACAAACAATATTGTGAGTGAGCAGATTTCTTAAGTTAAAATTTTCTTGGCTTAAAAACTTTGCAAGTGATATAGCCCTCTTCCAGTTTGCAGAGAATGGAAGTTATAGATGAGATCCTCTGCAACCTTCATTGACCAATTGTTTTACCAGGTACTTGCATAAGCAATACTCCAAAGACGGTGTCAGGCATACACTAGATCCTCTGCAAAGTTGATCAAGGATTAAATAAAATCATTATGAACCTAAATAGTCAAAAGTTGAGGAGATTTGTGGTCATATCTCACCTTCTTTTGTGAGCAGGTCTCTCAATCCTTTAGTTGTTGGAGTAACCACAGCAACCATTCCATCTGGCAGTATCCCATGCCCAATAAAGAGGGAAACAAATTTCTGACAGCACATATAAAAATATGGACAAAATCCGCATTTAGTTAGAGTGAATAATGATTGGAAACTGTGAGCCCATTCTTTCATTATTTCAGTTTGTAGGACACTGTCTTTACAGATATTCACAAATTTGGGAGAATGCTCAGCCTCTGCCAAATTCTTTTCAGATATCGGAAAACTTGGGATGCTTGGTAAACAAGGATGCTTCCAATATAATAGATTTCTTCTAAACTCCACTCCAAGATCGTCACAACAATCAGCCATATTACCCCTATTCTCACAACGTACAAAATTTCCCACTGCTTGGGAGACTTGAGAGCTTTTGAAGTTTGCACACCAATTAAATTGCTTTTCTGAGGTGAATTTGACCTTAGCTTTTAAACTCCAATCTGTCGGGAAGCAGGAACCTTTGTTTTCCAGGTCTGGTTTCTTCTCTTTGTTTGCGATGTTTGATTCGCCATTATTGCTTTCAAATTGCTCCTCTTCAGCATCGGAATGTTGAAATATATCGTCATAATTTGAAGTGCAGATTGTTGAATTCTTTGTATTTTTAGTGACCTTGAAATGTGAAAAATCGTTTTCCTTATCATCAGAATCATCGTTGCTGTGTTTTATTCGCTTTGAACCTGGCTTTTCGCAGTGGAACGGATTCTTCCTCTTAGACAGCCCAGAGCCTTTAGGCCGGCTCTTGCCATTTGAAATGTTGGATAGAGGACAAAGTGGGTTTCTATTCACTCGCGCTTTCAAAATGTGACTAGAAAAACTGCTTCGCTTTTTTATCTTTAATTTGAGCCGTGTGTTCCCATTCTGTTGTAGAAGGTCTTCCATTTTTCAACTCGAAGGCTATCTAAACACAGCGTCGAGCTTGTGCAACGAAGACGATTGCGTTTTTCTTTTGTCAAAATTGGCGCGATTTTCAGAAGCGTGTTGTTGTCGTCGTCAAGCTCCTTCTCAACGGCCTGTGACAACAGCCTGTGACGACGGCCTTACACACGCTAGATTAAATCCCATTAAAAAGTCCAAGCCACCTTTCATAATTTTGAAAAAATTAAAAAAATCTTTAAACAATTTTTTAATAAAAGATGTTGATTGAATGCAGATTGTGAAAATTGCAAGTCACTTTGGTAACTTCCAAATCTAACGAAGGCATATTCTCAGTATCGAGAAATTGGTTACTGCATCAATAGAAAATTACCTAAATTCTGGTAAATTAATTTCCAAAATGGCTTGTTATGGACAAATGTAATTAGCTGAACTATCATATCTAAGAAAATCTTTCAGCTTTTTGAACAAAATATGCATTCTAGTTAGGAATTCTATTGGAAAGCTAATTATAACTTTTTTGTCGGAAATAACAAAAAGAGAACCTCCATAGAAAATGTTTCACAAAAAAAGAGATAATTTATTCCTTAATGAATTTAATTTGGCTAAAATTTCAGTATTTTTTTTATATTTATTGCAAAATAGATAGATAATCGTAAAGGAAGGCCTGAAATATTCACTCAATACTCAGGTCGGCTAGAAAAAAAAATATTAGCAGAAACAGATTTTATTGCATGACATCTTTATACGAAAAAACCGAAAAAAATGTAGCAAAAATATACTCATCGAAGATTTTACATTTTAGGCCAACAATTTTCATTGATGAAAGACATAAAACCCAAAGTTTATAAAATTTATCGTACATCTACAATTACATTGATATTCATGGTGGCAAGTTCGGCGACCAAATATCTAAATACATAGGGAATAGTCAACTCCTTAATAGAATTTGTTGATTTGCACTGAAGGCAACTCCATCTTCTCTTTTCCTGAGATGAGACTGCAGCTAATTCATTGGGAGGCTTGTCCAAGATTGGGGACAGCAGGCTGCCACACTTTGTACAAATATGCGCCTATTAAAAAGTGCATTAATTACTAGCATTGCTTCACCACTAAAACTGAAAATTAGGCCATCAAAAGGGCAAAGTTTTAACAATACATCTGCTGGTAAAAGACCACAATATATATTCGAGCCCCTAAGACTGAATGCCAAGAGTACGTGTTGACTGGAACTTTAATACACAAGGCAACTGTTAGACCATAGCTTTTGTATGTTGTAGGGATGTGCTTTTTCTTGCAAGTTACACGTACAAAGCTTTAATAGAAAGGAAAGATGCTTGAAGGAGGATTTGTTTCTAAAATACCAATGCTCGATTCCCCACCTGAAGTCCCTTAAAAAGGCTAAGATACGTTTAAATGCTTACCTACACGTTTTGCAATTACGCGGAACACAAGTACACTTGCTATACGATTACTAGAGTAGATTACAACTAATAAAACTATCACAACATTGGCCATAAAATAGAAATTCATGCGTAACCATCACTTACCGTTGTTTCATCAGAACAATTCATCAAACGATCATGAAGAAGCATTGCTGATCCGTGGGATATCAAAGCATCTCTTTCCATTTCACCAAAACGAATTCCTCCTTGCCTCTTACGACCCTGGAGTAATGAATTTACAATATTGAACAATCCTACTAAACAATGTAATGGATGTCAATGGTCGATGGCTCTTTGTCAGGGAAAATGTTAAATTTTTAGAATAAAAATGGACAAATACATTTTTGCCGGCTAAAATACACTGGAACGGTCATTTGGCTCTAAAAAATCTTTATAAAAGCTAGAATTTTAGAATATGTCTGGTACACTTTAATGAAGCTTTAAATAAAATACTCATTCTACCTAGTTTGTAATCTCAAGACCAATACAATCTTAGAAGTTTCAGAAACAAAGCTAACAGATTATTCTTATAATACATGACCCTTCCTGATTCCTGTCAATACAAACATGCATGTACTTGCAATCATGGTAGTCGCATCTATCCTTGTTAACAAATACATTCCATTTAGCAAAATGTTCATATGTTATATATCCATTGTAAAATTTAGACTTAAGACTTACCCCGACAGGTTGGTGTGTTAGCTGATCGATTGGTCCTGTTGTGCGCACCTTAAAATCAATAAAATATCTTTAGGAGTTTTCAATAGCATTGATCGTAATGCAAGGTACGGTTTTAACTCACTTAATATTTACATTTACATATTTCGGCCCATAATATATTCGAATTTCTAAAAGAATGCAACACACATTTAAGTGACAGCCAGGCAATCTAGTGATGTATTTCAAAACTAAAATAAACAACTTTGTGATCAAGAGAGTTATTTCCAATTTTCAACTGTAAATTTATCTGCATATCTGATAGGCATAAAGGAACAAAGTCTATATCAATTCTGTAGATGACTTTGGGCATTTCTGATTTTATAACATTTTCTAAACCATTCTTCACACAGGGAAATATTTCAAAGCATTTTACAAAAAATAGATATTATCTTCTATCTTTCAAAATCTACTATATCTGTCACAGAGACCTTTCATGTGCAGCGCGCAAAAATATCTAAAAATTCTCTTTTGGCTCCCCATGATGTTAAATTTGTTAGCCTTTATTACGCAATAAAACGAGTGAGAAAAAGAAAAAAGAAAATGTCTTAAGATTGGATTAAGAAAATTCTTTCTAAATATAAACAAACTTTTGTCGCAGCAGGTATCTTTGAGCTACTTTGCTTACAATATTTGAAGAATGAACTCGTCTTTTCCACTTGTTTACAATCAATTAACTGATACCAACTACAGCTCGAATTAAATATCGAGGCAGCATATCACTAGCAAGCCAGCTGAGACTGCAGAGACGGCACAATATGTTCTTTGAAAATCTTGTTAAGCTGTTTACTGTAATAGAAGTACTTTAGGCACAACAATGCTCCATGTTTACCTGAAATTTATCTGCAACCATATGACGCAGTCTCTGGTAATAAACAATGCCAACAAAAATATCAGCTTCCAGCTCTCTGCCATCTGTGCCACTGTACAGTCTCTCATTACCAAAGTAGTTGTAGCCAGCTGGAAACACGACCGACAAGAACGGAGGAAATTAAAAATTAAAAAATGGATGGAAAAAGATGAAGATTTTGTTGAAGTAATCAATTTTTCAAAATTTCATCAATAAGAATTCCAACTTAAACAAATTTAAAATTAAAGATAAAAAGCCTGTTTAAAGACAAAAACAAAATTAAAATCAAAGTATGGGCAATGATACAAATAATTAAACGCCTGTTGGCTGCGACAATAAATTTTCTGTGAGTTCAATTTATTTGCCATAGATTTAATTACCTCGATAGTTTTCAATGCTTAAAATATAAGTAGAGGACATTATGGTCATTATTTAAGACGTAAAGACTTCATCGGTAACATACATTTATAAAACTAAATAGATCGGTCAATATGGATATGTGTGTTTAAAATATAAAGTTTTGTCTTGTATAGCACGAAACTTTTGGAACATAAGGTATGCAGACGACACGAGGATAATGGCAAGGCCCGGGAGGCATGTAAGGAGATGGGCGAGGCATGATGCCCATTAGCAAAGAAGTGGGCCTCGAAATCAATAAATCCAAAACATCTGCAGTAACAATGCATGGATATGGAGAGGTGAAGATCGATGGTAAAATAACTGAGCAAGTGAAAAAAGTGAAATTCCTGGGTTTGTACATTACCCAAGAAGGATATAGCTGTGCGGACATAAAGAGTAGAATTGGGCAAGCTAAAACCGTAACCAACAGAATGGCAGAAATACGGCAGTCAGGAGAATTGAGCAATCGGCTCAATGTAAGACTAGGTAAGGCCATGGTGTGGAGCGTATCTTTGTATGGATATGAAACGTGGACCATCAGAAAACTAGAAGAGAAAATGATCAATGTCTTTGAGATGTGGCTATGGAGAAAAGTGATGAGAGTTAGATAGACAACGAGAAGATCAAATGAGTGGGTAAGAGATCAAGTAAGAGTAAGCATAGATAGTAGCATGTTGCGAGAGGTTCAAAAGAGAAAAATCAGTTCCACTGAAGGAGAGACAGAAGGAAAAACAAAGAGAGGAAGAAGAATAATGGAATGGATGTCTAATATCCAATGATATAGAAGCGCTTATATATCATTGCTAATATCATAACATGGCGGGGTGGTGTGAATCAAGCTCATAGACATGCTTGAAAGAGGAGGTCAACGGTCCAAATCTGATGGACTATGGCAACATCATTCATTCATTAATAGCACGAAACAGGAAATATTCCCACCATGAATACTTTGAATAAAAATCCATTAAACAATATCTAGATATCGACAATATGTAGTTTATCGAGGTTATCAAAATATTTTCAGTGGTACAATCAGAATACTGCCATTGAAGGTACATTCAAGTTCAAGAAACCAATGAACTAAACTGAAGTAAACAAGAGGTCTACATCAAAGGCAAATACCTTTCGTGAGTAGATTTCCAAAGAAATCGATAGCAGTCTTTTCTTCTGAGAATTTGAAAGGAGTTGAATCATGCGTTATCCCATGCAATGATGCTGATTTGCCAGCCATCGACTCTATAAGCATCCCTTGAGACAGAAAGAGATTACTTTGAACTATGCCTTTGATTCTTTGTTCTATTGCAAAAATAGCTTTAAAATGGCATCATTAGAAAAGGCTTAAGACTCTGGTAAATGGGATAGGCACTGAAGGCCATAAAGAAACATTAAAACAATGATAAAGGTAAATGGCATCGAAGTAATGTTTAAAAAATCATAAATGAATGATCAACAATATGCAAATGTTGTCAGAGCTACTGCGGTCGGTCCGTATTTACAGAAAGCCTCAACCGCTTACATATTTGAAGTGTTCACGAGGAAAAACTCCTTCTATCTATAAAGTTTTGTGTTTTCGATAAAAAGATACCGTTTTTCCACCAAAAAGTAATCATCCTCTTTTCAGAGCCCTTCTTATAAACGCCCATCGAAATCTAAAAACTTTCCATAAGCGCCTCGATATTCATTTGAAGAAAAACGTTTTCATTTTACAACAGACTGTTTCTACTCTACGGGGAACCCTAGAAACTTATAGAAATTCCTATACAATTATTTCAGAAGCTCCTATTTATCGACAAATGCTTGTGCCTCTCTACCGTATTACTATTATTTTCCAAAATATGGTTCATCTAATTTTTCAAAAAATGGACAACATGATTCTGGTATTTGTTAGTTATATTTTATAATATTTACATACGAAAATAGCAGTACTAGAAGGATGTAGCACTGAAATTATCTGCTTCTTGTAATACATAAAGGGCTCAGTCTCAAAAGGGTAGGACCCATTTACCCGCCAATCTGTGGCTTGATCTCCAACTGAAGTCCCATAAAGGTGATCATGAAGCTAGCACCAAAGACGTTGCCGGTATCATGCCAGAGTCAGATAGAATGCCAAAGGTAGGGATAGTGCCAAACACATACTGGGTTTAGCTAGTCAAAACTAGGGTATACCAGCACAGAATAGGGATGCTAGATACACCAAACTTTGCATAAGGATTCACGCAATTAAAATCCTTAAAGTGCACCAGATTGCAGGTAAACAGACACTGGTTAAAACAGCCCACCAAACTTCAACTAACCAATAACAAGAAAAAAGGCTTACCTATTGTCATACGCGAAGGGAAGCCGTGAGGATTGAAGAGAATATCTGGTTGCATACCAGACTCTGTAAATGGCATATCTTCCATTGGCCATTTCATGCTATTTGAAGAAAAAGATTTAAACGTTATTCTTGGCTACGGTGAAATCTCCAGTGTTGCTTCCAAATTTCTTCGCTCATTACAATTGGCCGCTTGGCTCAGTGGATAAGCGTTGGATTTTGAAATAGCAAACTGGAGATGATTCCGGCCATAAGTGGTTCGAAAGAATTGGGCAGCACCCTTGCACAGGGACGCCGAAGCAAAATTTGGAGTGGGGAGCTCTAGGCAAGTGGGGTGGGGGGAGGCTTTAATCGTAGTTTGCCATCATTGTCCTGACGCGACTACAGCTATACTATACTATACTATACTATACTATACTATACTATACTATACTATACTATACTATACTATACTATACTATACTATACTATACTATACTATACTATACTATACTATACTTTACTATACTATACTATACTATACTATACTATACTATACTATACTATACTTTACTATTCTATACTATACTATACTATACTATACTATACTATACTATACTATACTATACTATACTTTACTATTCTATACTATACTATACTATACTATACTATACTTTACTATTCTATACTATACTATACTATACTATACTATACTATACTATACTATACTATACTATACTATACTATACTATACTATTCTATACTATACTATACTATACTTTACTATACTATACTATACTATACTATGCTTTGCAATACTTTACTATACTAGTGTACTAAACTACTATAATACTGTACTAAACTACTTCACTACTGTACTAATACTAAACTTACTATACTACTTAACTGTACTAAATCAT